GCTGGGAGAATTCTATCTGGACCAGCGGCATTATGCAGCTTCAACAATCTGGTCTCACGTTCGACTTCTGCGCGTGTGAGTGCAGATCTTAGGAGACGGCCCATGGAGAAGAGCACTGTATCCGTAAGAGAAAGCGATAACTCAGATTGGTTAAACTGCCGTGCAGTGTTCAACCCGACGCTCCAAATGTTTAACAGGCAGTGGATCGGCTGTCCACTCTCGTCGCGTATTTTCTCGCTAACACCAGGTCTCCTGTTGCATACTTCCCTTATCAAACGGGATTACTTACGATTATTATCAACGGCAGCGGCTGTCTCCATTTCCGATGCACGATGAGACCACCATGCTTCGCGGTCTCTCTTCAGGCTAGCATGCAGTTTTGCCCTGAGATTTTTCCGAGTCTCCTTGTATTCGCTCCTAGTCAGAATACGTCGGCGAGCATCCATAAGTTCCAGAGACTATAGAAACTCAATGTCTAGGTTGGCAATTTGATTTGATACATGAAGACATGCCTGCTGATAGTTACGTTTGACGAATATGCGGCCGGTGACCTTCGACGATGTTCAGTAGACGCTTTCTCAGCTCAGATGCCAGCGTAGTTTGATACGCATTCAAAACACCTGGCTTCGCCAGCTGACTGGCCTCAATGAGCTCAGAGAGACTTTGCGGATGTCCGCCTAAAAGCACCCGCAGATCGGCACACACGAGAGCGTGATCGGAATCCACCCTGGTGCTCCAAATCGAGCGACAGTTTTGGACACATTCTCTCCAGCGGCAACTGAACGCGATATGATCGATTTGCCGGCATGGCTGTTGCGAGGCTGGTGGGCGCCAAGTCACGTTTCTGCGGTTGCTGTGTCGATGGTTTGGGCTCAAGAACAAGAGACGAGCCACTTCACACAGGTGTATCAGCCGCTCACCGTTATCATTACGGGAGCTTACACCTTGTTGGCCACCCAGATGAAGCTCATCAGAGCACAGTTTTTCGAGTTGGGCGTTTAGATTGCCAGCCAACACCACAATATCCGTGCTTCTTCTCTAACGAAGGAGATCGTTAACTTGTTGATAGAAATAATCTTTCCTTGAATCAGTGCTACAGTTTATAGGAATGTAGGTCGCAATGACAAACAGGCACCGTTTGCTCCCGCGCGACTTCGTAGCATGGAACAAACCAGCTAATCTAACCGCGCACATCCGACTGTTGACTAGGATCCAATCGATCACGGCAGCTTCAGCCCGTGGACTCTAAACAATGCCGACGCCAGCTTAACCGACATTTGAAGCTACATCATCGCCAGACAGGCGCAGTGAGGATGTACCACCGCTATCGCCTGTGGGGGATCGTAGGGTAAGCACGGTGCTCAAATCTAGCAAACGAGTTTCCGATAAGAAGCAACTATCGATCGATATGGTCTCTTGTGTGCGGGCAAGCACTGCCTGTTGGCTAATCTCTATGAAAGTGCGCACCTTGAGGCATGCTAGTCTTAGCGAGACGCGAGGACTCCAAAGGTAAACGGATGAATTGACGTTGTCCGCTTAGTTGAACTTGGACTTGTGGACTAGCTTGGAGCGACGCACTGCGATTGTGCGTGGGTTGTAACTAACAAACAAGCGACTATTCAAGCAAGTTGGGGGAGGGTCAGGAATTGAGCGATTGTAAACGTGGAGAATAAAAGTGTACTTGGAACGGGACGTTAAGGATGAAAAATCGCAAGGTTAGAATAAAATGGTGAGAATGCATGAGCAGTAGCATCCAAACTCCTATCCACCCTGCTCGATACAGCAGATGGGGCCCCTTAATTAATCTCTGCGACGGCCGGAGCATCAAAAAACTGTGAGAAGAAAGGTTCATTGTGTTGCGTGAGCGGGATGCTGTCAGGTTGCCCAGGTCTAGACAGGCGAACGATTAGGCTTCTCAACCAAAACATTTGGTTCAAAAACCTTACGGCAAGGCAACGTGGTTTTGGCACTGGATTGTAGAGAGCCCGTTTTACGGAGTAAGGAGCCACCCTTGATCCAACCCCCAACCTGGAGGGCCAGGTTACTGAGTTTGTCTGGCCTCTAACCACTGACCAATCTGATGTGAATGGCTGTGAAAGTGCCAAAAAGCACCAACCAGCATTGTTTAATGGATTACTGAGGCACACAAACCATCGCACCACCTTAAGGTCCAGTCTCATCGCGATGGAGGGGTAAAATCAGACCTGAGGGGTTCATCTTGTGTGGTTTCTGGATCTCTTCGGTCAGATGATAGTAAGATGGACTTGGCGAATGAGTGCGAAGATGTGATGGCGATGCGGCGTGCGTTTCTGAAATTGCTGATCATTTATAGAGGCGTTCCCTTGCTCCTGGGATGTTCCAATTGAGAACTTGAACTTGTTTCTTAATACAGTCATTTGATCGGCAGGGAAATCGGATGCGGAGCTGACTGACCAGCTGAGGAAGATTGGAGGCGGGCGGTGGCATATCCGTTGCGCAGGCAAGAAGTGTCTCATCTTCCAGCGCAGACCAATTTCGCTGGTGGTTGAATAGCCCCGCCACACCCACTGCGTTGCACGTATCCGAGTGGGCTTGACGGCGGTTCTGAGACAAGCCACGCTCGCTTTTGAACATTTTGCTGCACGTTGAGCATTTGAACTCCGTTCAGTTGACGACAACAGTGACAGCTAAAAATCCCGTTACACTGCGGTGGTTGTTAACTAGGTGTTGACCTAAGCCTATGTTTGTGGAGAAACAGCGCGGGCATAAGTCGCAGTAATGCAGGAGTATGGCGTTGACCGTTAAGTCACGTAAATTATCATCTTGCTGTAAGTCCGATGACGTGGACGGCTATTTAGACGGTGCAGCCGTTGCTGTTGCTATTGCGGTATCGGCCGGCGCGTTTGGCTGCTGGGATGATACGGTGGGGTATCTGGAGAAATAAAGGAATTGTGCATGGAATGAAATAGTATGTGATGCCTGGTCGGCGAGCGGTTCCGATGGTTGTGATAGACATGAGCAGCCGCCGAGCCGTTCGTGATTGTTGAACAAGAACTAGCAGGCCTGCTTTCCTGACACTTCAGAGCAGAACGCGTAGGGAGACAGGCTGAGACATGCGCCGCGGGCCGTTCATAAGGCCCAATACGCGGCTGGGGTGACGGTTGGGATGGCAGCTCAGGTGGATGAGATTCTACGCGCAAGGTACCGTGTCCCAAAGTGCGTCGGAAATTATTGCTGTCCAGCGAGTGCCCAGCAAATAGAGTAAGCGATGCGGAAGAGTCCGCCCTTGTAGACGGTGAGATGCCGGTTTGACCGTGGAGGCTTGGTTCACTTAAAATGCTGCAATCTCCTAATAGTAGCCGACGTTCTCGTTGAAAAATACCAATGAAAACAGAGCAACAGATTTTTCAGTATTCTCTCCCTGGGCTGCAACTCGTCGGCTAACTGCATTAATTCGGCATGTTCTTCCGTGGACCAGAAGGCGCTGCGAATGGCACTCCTCGATGTCTTGAGGGCGCAGTACTCTTCGGGGTGTGTCCGTCGACGGTGCATTGTTACCGCTCTCGCTGAAGTGAGAGATGTGCCGCAGAGAGGACTAGCATTAAGTGCTGGCTCATCGACACGACGGTGGTCTGGAAGATGTCCTGTGGGATATCCCATGTGGTTAGCCACTTCATCCGCAGAGGTATAGGAAGCACGGCAAAGTATGTAGGTATGCCAAGTGGATGTTGTGGTAACAGTAGTTAGAATGGATATAGCGGGGGAGGTGGGTGAATGGAGAGAGTTCTGTGCAAAATCCATGTCAAATGTTCTTGACGGAAAGACGAGTGACCATAGAGCTCGGGCCGGATAAATGTAAATAAAATGATGCTAATTAATATAAAGTAAGAGCAAATAAGCGTTCCTTGGTAAAAGTCGCATACTGTGCTAATGGAAAGCAACTGTGGAGTCTAGCCAACAAGCTAATGTGGGCAATGATGTGCAGATAAATTTAAGGATAGAGAAGAATAAGGCGAATAATGAACGAGAGCATCGAAGCCATAGCTTCATCTAACACACTACATGTAAAAAAAGAATAAAAGGCTTGCTTGTGCCTCTCAATCTACTCACACAACCTCTACTCCGAAATGGCCCTCTAATCAGTCATTAACCGTTGTACCAAGCGTTGCCCGTCTTCACCCGGTAGCCAAAGGCCACTATTCCAATGGTCCCAGATTCGAGGCTTTCTATCTCCAGCTGATGAACTTAAACAAGGTCGAAAGGCGTCGTGATGTGCAGTGTTTTCAAGCGGGCAACACCCGACTTCCATCTACATCAATTGCACTGTTTCTAAGCGTGCAGAGCGTTGTAGCTGGCGTTAGTCACAGTGCATCTTTTGTTCCGCCAAAATTGGCGTGTTCTGCTGTCTTGTGCTACGGGCGGATTACTGCATTCTACTGTGATTCGTAGTTTCATACGGGCCAAGCTATAACACCTCAATCACACACGAGGTGTAACTGTTGAATCTGCTGTGTCCCCTCCTGGACAGCCGCCTGCTAAGTCGCGAAATTTAACGGTTTTTCAACTGTCGATCTAGCGATCCACTCTTGCTTTCCAAATGTCCAATTAGACAACAGTTTTATTTCGAATTGCATATAACGAAGTTAATAAAACCGGGAAGCACCACGTTCGGCTGCGAACCGATGGTGTTATCTAGACATCGGTTATTTGCATTGACGCTTCGTTACCGGCAAATCACACGTAGCCGCACGGCGGATAGCATAATCCGTATACCAAGAAATTCACGTGTGAGCGAGTGAGTGAAACGCTTTTATCCGTTGCATCATAGATTCCTACTTGTCTACGTAAGTATCGCCGTGTATGCAGTCGCAGCACACCGGCACCGCGCCTTTCGCCTCTCTAAGCGGCTGTGCACACTTCACCACCGTTATCCTCGCTTTTCTACTCGACCCACCACCGCGCCATAAGTGACCTACTGCATTTAATGATTGTCTTATTGCTTCTTACCCACTTCCGCTCAGGTTGTCCCAGACGGTCAGTCCTTCGAATCACAACGATCACTGTTTGGTGACACCCTGTCATATTGTGGCATGTTCTGGTTCCGTTTTTGGCAGTTTGGTGAATGGGTTGATGTTGTCGTGGACGATCGGCTTCCCACTCGTGATCGTAACTTGGTGTTCATGCACTCCACCGACCGGCGCGAATTCTGGTCTGCTCTGTTGGAGAAGGCCTTTGCCAAGTAGGTGTGGCACTTAGCTTTGAGCTTTTTATTATATCGAGGGCGGGTCAGCATACAAGCACTCAACAATATCTGGTTATTTATTTTAGCTTCTCTTATTCCCAAGAAGTCGGATATCATTCTCATCAAATAAAAGGCGTTTTATACTCGATTCTCTGCATGAACCCACGTTCTCACAATCATGCTGTTGAGTGACCTGTCCTTTGAAGTTGATGTGAAATCCTAGGTCCACACCATGCTCCAATGTATTCAATTGCTACTTGGTGGAACTCACCTTCACTTTTTCGACTGATAACGTTGTGACCCCCCGACTACTCGAACATACGTGATAACTATCGGAGAATAGGTGATACTGGCTTTTCCTTTGTTCATCATCCTCATGTCTCCGCGTATCTGTGTGCTACCCAACCCGCGCTCAACTGGTGGTGATCTCATGGCAGCGACACATCGGTACGGTGTCCGCGTATTGCTGATGCCGCTCTCTCTCTCTCTCTCGAAGGCTCGGATTTGCCAGCTAAATTGTACTGTTTACCAAGTGAACTAGTCCTGAATGCGCCCACGATTAACTATACGCTTGCTCGGTTACACACGCATTCTCATTGGATTCAGAGTTCGTCCACTTTTACTGTGATACCTTGTCGTCGACTGACATCTACCTGCCCTCATTGAAACCGCTACCTGCTTCATCCATCTCAAGCCGTTCCAGGCAGTGTTGCTTACTTTCTGCTACTCGGTATTCAAGCAGCGTGTATTAAAGTGTTTCAGTCCATTCCTTTTTTCATACATGGACCAAGCACCATTGTGCTTTCATTTCCGTTTCATCTTAGACCCTAAGGTGAGCTCTAACCGTCTCGTTAACCGGCTGTAGTGGAGTTGTCTGAGGCCTTTCGGCATGAGATCTAGCGGCGTACTCATATACCTCCAGCCGTTTCACGAGATGCGTTTCAAAAATGATTTTTAAGCGGTTAGATTCAGTCACGTTTTCTAACTATATCCCGGATATTATAATGCTGTTGACCCGACCTTCAGCGGTCTCACCACCGTGGTGACACAAGTTTACTACAGCGAAACCAAGCCACCGGTGCCATTGTGGGCAAAAACGGGAGATTTTGTCATAAGAGTACCACCAATTCACCAATCGTTGCATGTGAGGTGTGGGCGCTTCCAGCCGACCGAGGCCCGCAAATCTAGAACACGAGTTAGTGCACCAACCAGACGCATCGTTGACCTCCCTATCCGGGTTTTCCGCCTCGTCTGGAACATTATCGGCCCGTAGCACATGCTGCACTCACAGGTTGATGTTTCATGGAGCTTAGCAGACTGCTCTGCGCGAGGAAGCCTCTTGTCAAGCACCAGATAGCTAATGTCCATTTTTGGTACACTCATCGGTCCCATAAGTAATATTTGTTAATGTCTTCACATGTATGTGACCATCCATCCAATCTGGGTCTATTGCTATTACTGTCTCTACAGTTGCTTGTGGCCACATCGGCCACACTGATGCGTATCGTAATTAAGTCGACGTGATGGCTTTCCAGCCCGGGTAAATCAGTTCACTTAAGTCGAACAAGCACCGAAGTGCGGTGCATCCAGTTGCTACGACTCACATAGCAAACATAACAATAAACAGCAAAGACTCGATTGTGGTGCTAGAGGCAATTAGTATGTAAAGAAAATCGAAGGAAGACAGGAGTATGTTGAACTAATCAGAATGAACTGAAGCTTATCAACAGGTGCAAGAAACTGAATGCAATAATGCCACTGACTGCGTGACTGCGTCATGTGTGATACGGTCTGCAACCATTGGCGTGGGCCATCCCCAGGCCCCCATTTACGAAAGCGGTATACCACAGCCTGACCAAGTCTCTAGGTCAATTTCTTCATGTCTTAATGCCGCGTCACGGACTGACCACCTCGCGGTTTCACCCAATTTGGTGCAATCTCGGCGCATAATGCACACCGAGGAAGCCGGTAAACAGGCATACGGAGAATACGACCTAGCCAATGTAAGCGACTAAGGTTTAGAAAACACTAGAGTGAGGTATCAGAAGGCTTTTTGTCAGCAACCAACTGGTGGACCTCAGCATTGCTCAGCCGGTGTTCCCACCAGACATGAGCAGCACTTCGCAAGCACCGGTGGCCAAACACGGCCAAGCGTTTAACCCATTTATGACGGAAGTTGGAAATCGTGAATTTTTTTGCATGAAATTCATATATGTTATGTATAATAATGTCAAGAAGGGAATTTAAAGAAATTTTTGTCCGGTTTTTGAGTTATGAGACGTTTCAAAAATGAATCACTAGGCAGAACAATTGCTTTTTTTCTAATGTAGTACATAAAATGCTGCTTTTCATTTGAATATGCATGTAAGTACTACTACTGTTCAACTGGACACGTCACATATAAGGCTACATCATATTTTTCACATTCAAAGGTGGTGTTCTTACGACACTAACCGCAGTGTGTTTGCTTTCCTTGTTTGACAATAGCATGATTCAAGCCATCAAATCGTAAATCAATGTTGCTCTTCCCAGATGGCTTTCTCTTCCTGCCAGGTTCCGCAGCATGGCCGTGGGTCTGCAGATAATGAGACACTACACGGCGATGAAACTCCAGTACATCCATTGGTGTTGCATCATATAATTTATGCAATTGCCAATCATTCTGTAAGATCACTTTAAACCAAAACAACAGAGGGCTTGAATAGTATTTCTTTCCCCGGATTGATTATGTATACTTGTCAATATTTTCATCAGCTCTCTCCACCCTCCTATCATTTGAGTGTACAATTTGCGCACGCTTGGCTGCTGAACTTGGATCTTTTTTTTGTTTTTCTGAGAATGATTAACAAGACCAAGAGGATTGACTCAAGCTCCTGAGTAGGCGACAGTCCTAACGCTGTTGTGTGGGAATCGTTCTGCGAAAAACGTCTCTGCAACACAGGCCAATGTTTTTTCGTAGAAAGTAGAAGCCACGATTAAACTTTGCACAATAATCTGCCTCGACGGGGAATCGAACCTCGGACACACGGGTTACCGGTCCGCTGCTCTACCACTGAGCTACCGAGGGCTGACGATCAGGTGCGCAATTTAATACATGACTTCTGCTTGGTTCGCGACGTATTGCCAATACGCTCACAGTATCTGTCCTGGTGTTGCAGATTGGCTCACTCATTCGTCACTTCCCAATGAACCAAACTATCTGTCCTCCTGATGTTCAAAAGGCGATGGTAAATTACTGGTGGTTTTGTGAGTAGTGTAATGTTCATAGAAAGTAGAAGCCACGATTAAACTGCACCATAATCTAATTGGAGGGTCAAGTTTGGATTACACGTTGTGTGATTGGATTGCGACACGCAACCTCAAATTAATGGACTGTGATTCACATTGAAATGAACCTTAGTCACTGCGATCGCTGGGACCGTATTCAAAGTAGATGGAAATTGGGTATTGCCCACCCTGTGCCCACCACTGTGCAGTGTTTTCGGGTGGGCAATACCCAATTTCCATGCACCATAATCTGCACAGTTTAATCGTGGCTTCTACTTTCTACGAAAATTTCAATACTCATAAAACCAACAGGTCAATGTGTCACAGCATCGCTGCAGGTGTGAATCGACATCCACTGACTAGCCATGTGCACGCGGCGATACTATAGAGAGACCCAGGACGAGTCAGGCGGAAGTAATAGAGCGGATGAGTACGCTAAACATAACCGACACGTGACCGCTGTTCCGATAACGCAACACTAGGCATAAATGGGTTAATGTCTTCACCACGAACTGGCCGGGTTTCTGATCCACACAGGCCTTATCGCAGCGTTATATGCCATAGTTTTCACTGATAGGCTGGTATCCCATCGTCTCCCTAGTTGGAAATCTGTTCGGGATCCGCAGATGCAGCTTTGGAGCATACAAACCATTTGGCGTAGTTTTGACCTAGTTGATAGCACACACACACTATCATGTTCATCCGTAGGGTAGTTTCTGGATAGTTTTTGATTTATCATCTGACCTGGAGCAGCTGATAACCAGCCGTTAAGCAGCAGTATTTTTATTGTCCCACTGTCTAAGACATCCTTTGTCTCCAACCGAGATGAGCTTAAACCCAATGACTCTGTAGTGAGAGGGCACTGGACTTATCTGCAATCTCTTGGATTGGGTGGGGGGCAGTTTTGAATTCCAACTTCACATTTGCTGACGCACTGTGTCAAACCGATTGCTTCAGTAAACCGCATTTATCACTAGCGAATTTATTAATGTACCGTTTGTTTCCCATTTTGGTAGTTTTTATCAAGTAATTTTTCTTTTATTTACGTACAATACCGTGCTAAATGCGAATAGATGTCCGCGACCCTTAACCGCCACAAATTCTGGTCTGCTTGAGCTCACTGTTTGCATGGTATCGTTTCATGAATTTACCACATAACATTGCAGTTTAAAGTATCGAATAGAATTAGCATCGTGGATTTGAAAGTCATTCCTAATATTGCTCCGTTTATCATGATGATAATAATAGTAATAATACTAATACTAATGATACTATTTTCTCAACGAAGTGAGTCATGGCTTAGAGAAGCTGGCTCGGTCATAGGGTGCAGAGAATATCCAAACTGTTTTCATAAGAGTTTTGTGCACGACCAAGTGTAATTTCACTTCCATTGATTTATTCACCATAAATTTGTTTTAGACATGACAGTCTGGAATAAGTTGTGATATGTTAACATTTCGATTGCTCTCGTCATTCGCTACGTAATACATGCAGAACAAAACACGCAGTAAATAGGGTCCACACTTAGTAACATAAATAAGCAGATAAAACTGATGGGAATGACATAATCAGGTCCAAGGCAATCCAATTGATTGCCTCAATTGTTTCTGGGCAAAGAGCACGGGACAATTCAACCTTATCAGTAGCGCCTCGTCAATTGCCAACAACATCGGGTTCCTGTTGCGCAATAACACATTGAATGAATCGATTGGGTTCATCTGGTGACGAGTGGTCATGAGGTGTTTGGTGATAGACGAGGCAGGGTTCCGGTTCATTCTCTGGTCCGCTCCGCCTTGATTAAACAACAACTGCCTTAGCCACAATGAGAAGTGTTCCGCCATCCTTTGAGCCAACCGGCGACAAGTCTTGCTTATGTAAGTGTCACCGCAACTGCAAGTGAACTGATAGATGATGTTAGAGGCCGAACTGATTGGCGAGCTACTCGGACGGCTGTGGAGAGGAATCCTTCATGTAGTGTGGATAAGTCGTAGTTGGGCGGTAGAGTAGGTGCGCGTTAGAGCGGACCTGAGCTTGTGACCAACTTCATTTGCCACGTGATCCCCCTTGAACGGTAAGAACAAATAAACATCCTTCTTCTGCGCTGTTTGTACTGGCAGTTTCTCCTTGGGGGGTCTGCTATGGGTCTGAATGAATTTCTCCCGATACCCATTGGCTAGCAAAGTCCGGTATAAAAACTGTTCTTCAGGCTTGAGCAATTCCGGACTTCAAATCCGCCTGGCCCTGTAGAAGAGAGTTTTTACAAGTTTTTTTTTCGAGTCCCTAACCCTAACCGTGCCTCGTCTATCGCCAAACACCTCATGACGACTCGTCACCAGGTGAACCCATTCGATTCATTCAAGGTGTTATTGCGCAACAGGAACCCGACGTTGTTGGCAATTGGCGAGGCGCTACTGATAAAGTTGTATTGTCCTGTGCTCTGTGCCCAGAAACAATTGAGGCAATCAATTAGATTGCCTTGGACCTGATTATGTCATTTCCATCAGTTTTATCTGCTTATCTATGTTACTAAGTGTGAACCCTCTTTATTGCGTGTTTTGTTCTGCCTGTATTGCGTAGCGACTGACGAGAGCAATCGAAATGTTACCATATCACAACCTATGTCTTCTTACTGCGTTAATGAAGTGGTTGAAGGGGACTCAGTGTTTCAAGTCTGGAATAATACTACCACTACTAATAGTAATGATCATTCCACGTTAGCTGATGAGCAACACATTTCGGCTAATGCGCTTCAATAAAATGACAAAACGCATGAAAAGGTGTAACAGAAAGCACAACAGAATTGTGATAGTTTGTGCAGCCGAATTCCGGCGCGCATGCATACCTGTAATGACTTGTGCGTGCCGCCTGAACACGAGGCTTGCACATGACTGTCTGGCTCCACACTGCTCCATTATGTCCGACATCAATTTCACCTTGTGAAGCCACATTATATGACCCTATGACTGCTCACCAGCCTGTGGTTATGTGCACTGCTACTGAGTGCGTGCGACCGCCTCTGATTAGCTGCAACTGAAGTGCTTAACTGATTTCCACCATTGACCAGACCACATAGTTGGACTGCACCTCGCATCGTCGAGAAATGAACCGTTTATTTATTTATTTACTCCTGTAACATCTGCATTCTTCGAAAATTGGTTCTGCTTATAATTTTTTGATTTCTCCTACTTTCCGATGTTCGTTACCTGCGCGGTATTATTTCAATCCACTAAAATTACTACAAGAAGATACAAACACATAACAAGTACTACGATACTGAGTTTCATGTGACGTGTGAGATCGTGCTCGGAGAGGGAGGATAACCGGGAAAGAAGTGCTCACAGAAAATCAAAACACAAACGCCATTCATGTCAGCATTTCACCATATCAACCAGTGTATCCAACCAGTCTGGCGGTCGAGAATCACCAACGAACACCAAGTTCGTATTTACCAAGCAATTGCTTAGCCTCCCTCTTCTTCCATCTACACCCCAGCGCGCAAACAACGCACGTATCGGGAGTCGGTGGGCTGGTATGCGCAACACGTGTCCCGGCCATCGGGTCCTGGTACATGATATAGCGATGCTGAGCAGTGCTGTACACAAGGCGTCGAACACGCTCGTTGCTCACGCGATGTTCCCACTAGATGTGAGCCAGATTGCGAAGGCACCGGTGGTCGAATCTAACTAGCCTCGGTCTGTCTATTTGATGAACCAGATTTCACAACTGTACGGGAGTTTTGTACGCACAGCTGCCTTGTATACTCTGCATTGCAGCGGGAGAGTGATGTCACGTCGGTGCGACAGATGACGGAGATTGCCAAAGTGCCTAAAGCTTTTACTGTGCAGTTTATGATCTTATCTTCCATTCCATTGGCTCTGGTACAGCTACCCACATACTTAAATTTCTCGACGACTTCTAGCTGATCCCCACCACGGGTCAGCGCAGAGGTGGTTCCTTGCCAACCTTGTAGAAGGACTTTCCACTTCGTCGGTGCAAAGCATAGCCCGAAACGACTGACAGCCAGTACTAATTTGTCCAGTGCTTCTTGACACGTTGGGGAGCTGTCACATCTTAGGTTAATATGGTTCAGCTCCGTTCAGATGGCATGCTTCATAATGGAGGAAAATAATAGATTTTCGTTTTTGTTTCAGAAATACCTTTTTTGCTTACTAACAACTGCATAACGCTTCAGCCGCTTTCTTTCCGTCCCCTTTGTTCTAAGAATTGTCGGCTCATATGAGGCCATGCGAGGCGGCTGCACCGCCGAGGCGATGGAGGACTTTACCGGTGGCCTCACGGAAGTCGTGGATTTGGGTCAAAAGGCTCCATCAAATCTGTTCTCCACCATGTTAAAATCACACACACGTTCCTCTCTCATGGCGTGCTCCCTCGACAGTCCGGACGGTGTCATGGAAGCGGATGGTCCGATGGGCCTGATCACAGGCCACGCATACTCCATCACGGATGTCCGAACGGTAATCATTTGAACCTTTCAGTTTTCACTTTCTCATCGTCGTGGTTTTGTACATTAATGTTTCCCTTTCGTGTCGACCGGTTACACTTCCGGGAATCGACGCTGATCGCCTTCAGTCGATCTCCATCAACGACAACCGCTGCTCTCATGTTATCCGTTTCATTGTAACACTGTTGCAACAGCTGCAAGCTACTCCACAAATTTGCACACTGCCGCCCACATCACCAGGTCGCGTGGCGCGAGACGAATTTCCTGCGCTCAACGCAGTAGATTCAAGGCAAGCGCAGCAGGCACGGAATCGAAGATGTTCTTTTGAATCTTGCATCTCCATGTAGAGTCATTCTCATAGCAATCAAAGCAGCGTTCTGCTTTCTACTCGCCCTTACTTAGTCGCATAAAGCATTCTGCAAAAAGCTGTCTTCTTCCTCTCCTGTAGGCGCGACTACGGGGTGTGCGTCAATCAATCGACATAGTGGTTATGCGGCAGTCAATTTAATCGGCAATCGCAGCTGAGTTTCCGGGGTTGTTGCAATCAATCGTCCGTCTACTCTATGTGCGGGCACAGTTCGCGAGAGCGATTCTTCTTTACAGCATTGAGACTCGGTCACTTCGGTTTTGCGATCTCCATCGTACGCAAATCTTAACTGCCCTCGTTCCAGTTTGATCTTTGCCGCCCTCTCTGGTGCCCGTCACCACCGTGTGCGCTTCCCAGAAGCGCCAACAATCGCCGGTGTTCTGCTTTTTCTTTCAGATGAACACTTCACGGTCCTTTGTGTGCTTCTTGTGCATGTCTCACAATCACCGATCGAGGAAGACCTTGTTCCTCTTCTACTTTCTCACAGTAATGCGGCACTTGTTTGCAGTCATCTGGTAGAGGTAGAGGAACTCCAACTAGTCAACGAGTGGCTGTCTCAGATGTCATATTATCTCCATTCTCTCATTTTAGGTAGGAACTACCCGTGCCTATGGACGCTTCTTCCCACTGCACGCTATCTGTATAGGGTCGAGATAACACACGCGAGGTACTTGTCTAATGCTTATGCCAGACTGAGGATCTCAATAATTGCCGCTTTCCGGAAAAGAACTTTTCTCACATATTCACAGTCTCATCCATTTGAGTATAATCCATTTCTCACTCGGCCCTTAAACGACTCACACTGTGCGTAGCACTCTTTGCACAGTTTTCGTCCAGATGGTCTACAATGTCATCCACACCATCCATACACGTTAGCCGATAGTGCGAGACACCTCAGCTAATGTGTTACAATGCAAAACGGAGATTAAACAGTGGAGACTAAAATATGTTTGCAAAAGAACATACTGCTAAATATCACATTATACATAGCGTTTTAGATCTCTGTTGGAGTGTGAAAATAAACGGGATGGGGTGGGACAAAGAAACTCGCAATACAAACACCACAGGTCGGCTCCTTGATATGTCAACTAATGTGTCCAACCAGCCGTGTACATTGTCCTTCGGACTCGGGACACACTAACCGACGCCAGCTTATAGGTGAGGGACTTCATTCCTATTGACCAAGTCATTGCTTGGCCTCCCCTCATCTTCTTCCATTCACACCCCCGGCGCGAAAACAACACGCGACTCGGGAGTCGGTCAACTGGTATTGGCAGAACGTGGCCCAGCCATCAGAGCCTGATATGACGGTGCTGAGTGGTTCACTCGCTCTTCCTGCAAATACGCAGTGCCGAACACGCTCATTGCTCACGCGGTGTTTTTATCAGACAAGATCCATACTTTGAAGGCAACAATGGTCGAACGTAAAGTCTGTCGACTTGATGGGCCATGTTTCGCAACCGTACAGGAAGATGAAATGCATGGCTGCATTATAAACTCTATCCTTCAGAGTGAGAGTAATGTCACACCGGTATCGCACGTGGCGCAGATTGGCAAAGCGCCCCGAGCTTTCGCTATGCGGTTTGTGATCTCATCTTCGATCCCATGGGCGCTAACATCTCTGCCTACATACTTGAATAGCTGAATGACTTCTAGCTCATCCCCACTAAGTGTCAGCACAGAGGGGTTTCCCCGTCAATCTTCGGGAAGGACTTTGCATTTTGAGGGTGCAAAAGCATAGCCTGAAACGACTGACAACCAATGCTAATTTGTCAATTGACACTTGGCACGTTTGAGAGCTGTCACAGATATGAACAATGTCGTCCGCATATTCCAAGTCAAGAAGTCGATCACCTGGGAGCAGCTCCACTCCTTGTAGGTCGTATCCAGTAAACAAAGTCTGCATAATTTTGTCATTGGCGTAGTTAACGAGTAAAGATGACAGAGGGCAACCTTGTCTCACACGGTTGGAGATATTGAAGGACGGCGAAATTTTGCCGTAAATCCTCACTTTCCCCCAACTATGCGCGAACCGCGCTCTTATGACATTTTACATTTTTCTGTGGTAAACCTTTCCTCAATAGACACTTCCAAAACGCCTCTTTGATGTCGTGGAACACAATTACGGTGCGTCACCAATAAGCATGGCGGGACTCCGACAGTTGTAGTAAACTAAACATGTGGTCAATGCCGCCTCGATTTCAATGAAACCCGGCCTGTTCCACGCCAATCCGTCTTTCACGGATAAAAATAAAATAAATACATCACCAGTTGTACACCGTGACGGCGCTACGCTGCGACACGACCACCACCAGTCGCGCGTGGGTCGAGTATATCGCGAGGACACGCGCCACTTTCGGATTCCAAGACAAGCGAGTAATCGTTTTGGTCACCGGGATGCCAATCAGTCTATGGAGGTCGATAGAACCAAGTGTACCGCGACTCTAGTACACCTTGTTTTTAACGTCCATAACCCAATGCTCATTTATGTCCAGAAATTCTCATTGCATTAAACTGTGACAGATAAAGATGGGTCGCAGCTGGTGAGTAGGCACAGGTCTCTGCGCTGTGGCTATCTTTAAACTTATCTCAATGCGCTTGTCTTGGAATCCGAAGGTCGCCGGTTGGAATCCGCATATGCGCTGATGACTTTCCCGTATACCCAGCCCATTCACAACTGATTGTTGTCACGTGGTAACGAAGCGTCACTACCGTGTGCGTGGTATTGCTGATACCTTTTTGTTTCTCTCTCAACTTTCCTCAATGACGATACGATTTGGCCTTGAAGGTTATGGACGTGCTTTTTGACGTGTCCGATACGTTGCCGCACTTTCTTCTATTCTCTGACGTCTGTGGAGATCTTCATCTCCCTCTTTTTCGAACTAGTTGGAAATCATTACAGCGACTATGTTCGGCTCAGCCTATGTGCATTTCCCCTAATGGCGTGTTGTAGCTTCCTTCGTCCCTTGTATCAGTAAAGGCGCGGCACCATATCCCTGCTTGCATACGGCTGTCCTGGTCCGATCAACACGTGACCTGTACTTAATGGGACTGCATACAAGCCGAACGATTGACGTAGTTAACAGCAATTATCAACCATATCTAAACATTGGTTTTGTCCTTTTTTACTGACCTCTTTAGTTTGTCTGTCTGTCTGATTGATTAGATTCGTTTATATCTGCACCAGCTTGACGATGAATTATCGATGACACATTCGCTCACACTGACCTTAGCTTATTCGATTCGCTTCTGTAAAATGTTGAACGCGTTTAATTTGTCCTTAGATTTGATTGCTTTAACATTTGCTAATGGAGCAACGCGTTCAGTAAACTCTGCAGTCTTCTCAGCCCTCTTGGAAACCAGCCGTTTCTTCCGCTTCCTGTAGGTGAACACTTCCAGTGGGCCTGTGGAACTTGTTCGCCTGCGCAATCCGTGGGGCAATGAGCGAGAGTGGCAAGGTGCCTGGGGCGATCAATCTAGAGAGTGGAAAAGTATTTCGAGTGCCGAGAGAAAACGGATTGGTTTGACATTTGACAACGATGGAGAATTCTGGTCAGTTTAACAGCTTCTCGAATAGGTGCCCCACACTATTTACATTCGTTTCCCTTTCATCTTTAATTCGTTCTATTTGCATGTCTCGTACCACAGCTCTTCCCTTCAATGAGGTACACTTCAAATCAAGTTAACCAGCTTTGTTAGCTCTCTCGCTTCACATTGCTTTGATGTAGTTGGCACTCCATGTTATTCACATGAAGCCAACCTGAACAGACTCTCACGAGCCGCGCACCTGCATTTTATCAGCAGGCATTCGCAATACGATGTGGGTGCTTTATGTTCCATTCATATTTCACGGGAGTCGGTCGTATTTTTTGCGCGGCATGCACTTTCTGTCATTTCCACCTGTGTGGCTGCGGGCGGTTACGTCATCGTTGTTTACGAAACACTTCTGTTACGTTCTTGTGCGTTCAGTATCCGGCACACGCATCTGGACTGAAGTAAACCCACCCACCTTTCCTGCCGGATAGGAGCTGTTCGACTGTTTGTTCTTACTTTGGATCTATTAACGTCACCCGAAACTGAGTCCCCATCGCAGCTCGTTTGGCCTCCAGCTTGTCCGCACACCATCGAGCAGCATTCGCTCGTCATCGATTCATTTCTGATTGCAGGTCGAAACGTTTTGGTCTGTTGCGGCCTCCAATAAGAGGCCAATTTACACTGAGCTTCCAAGTTCACGTTTACACGGCTTTGTAGATCCATTCGATGTCATTTAAGTGATAGTTAAGCGGCGCATTTTGTACTCGATATTCCTGCTCGCCTCCACGTATGTGATGTGTACGGAAAGTAATCTGGTTCTGGTGTATATGCGAATCGACATGGTGAACTTGTTTCGGTACTGTGCTCACTAAACCCTCTGTTGCATGCGAATAGATAGATTTGCAATTAGTACCTCTATTACAAACTACCGACTGAATTTCACCGCTTTTAAAACCAGTAATTGACTTTCTGTTGGAGTCACCTCCGCCAAGCCTGAGGTTGCGACGTTATATACTCCTTTTCTTTCCTAAATTACCAATGCCGGTACTTCCACCATTGACCGCCGATGAATGTCACTAAATGCATAAGTGCATTTATCTCGAGAAACTATCCGCACGAACTTTCTGAACACTTCTCTGGCTGTTCTTTACGTTTACTGTGCCGGAGTCACTTCAATCCATCTTACATCTTCCTTTCTTGTAGGATGAGTTTCAACGACTTCAAGCACTACTTCACCAGGCTTGAGTTTTGTCATCTTGGTCCCGAGTCAGCTGCATTTGGGCGGTCCTTGATACTCGATACGCCGTCTCGTCGATGGGAGATGACTCGAGAGTGTGGCGAATGGGTCAAGTTCTCCACTGCTGGTGGGTGCAGGAACAATTTAGGTGAGCTGTACGTAAGAATTGGTTCTATTTTCTAAGATGCTGATGGCTCACAAACATGCCTGCCATGGCTTACGCAGCTTCGAGTTACATGGTCACCTATAGAGCTACATTCTGCTCGGTCGCTTACTGATATCATTTCAGCTCAGTTGCTTATTTATTTTCCGTGCATCCAACTGCAACGAGTTCTGTCCCGTGAACCTATGTCACTGTGACAACAATGTTTGGTAAGAAACAGGAAAACAATAGGAGAAAAAATCCGCGTGTTCAGTCGAAATTGTCTGAACAGCATTGAGATCGTTTAACGAAAGAGTTGTAGGTTGGAAGCAAGCAACTAGCTGAAAGAACACTTATACTTCCGATTTTTTTGACTAGTAAGAGGATTATTGTGTCAGACTAGAAGAACTTAACTCAGATTTTCCTAAATCTTTCCGATTTACGTTCTCCGGGTTATCGCTCACTCTCTGTACCATGGACTGAGATCGCTGTGAACTCTGTCACTTTAGCGTAAATCACTGGCATCTCATCAATGGGCTAATCCTTCTAGTAGACTATTGAAATTTTCTGAATTGCACGCATTTTCCCTTTCCCTCGACGGATCTAATCTTATATGGCGTTACCCCAAAATGCATACAGTTTCCACCTCGCCACTGGGGAGCACTCCGAAGAGTCTAAACTTTATTACCCAAAGCAGTCATATGATTTATATTCGATGGATTGGCACCATTGGTGTAACAGTGGCATCGCCGACCTCTGGACTGGTAGCCGAAGCAGTGATGCAGTCCCTAGAACGAATAGCACTCCCAATTGCGAAACCGAAACCTTGGGTGCGCTACGTAGACGACACCTTCGTCATCCTCAAACGCTCCAAATTAGAGACGACCCATGAGCTCATCAACACTGTGTTCGGTGGCATCCAATTCACGAAGAAGGAGGAAAACAATGGGTAGCTGCCATTTTTAGACGTTCTCATACCGTTCAGGACCACTGGAAACGGCGGCCTATCGAAAATCAACACATACGGATCAGATCCTCAACTACAACAGCAGTCATCCGACAGCCACAAACACAGCTGCGTGCCAATTCTTTCCAAAGAGCACATGCGCATTGTAGCCCGCAACAGCTGATGCAGGCGGAAGAGGTCCATCTCTTTAACCTGTTCAAACGGAATTCATACCCACAAATGCAACGGCTGAAAAGCGAGCCGTGTTGCCTTACATCAACAGAATCTGCAATGGCAGGGGAGTTTTGTTGCCTTTGGAAGTCGAGCTTGCCCATCAACCAACAGAAACAACTAGAAATGAACTCTCCGAAGTGAAAGATTAACCTTTCAAGTGGGAAACATCTGGTGTAATCCACAAGATCTGCTGCCGAGACTACGACAAATATTACGTAGGACAAACAGGAAGAAAGCTTGGCACACGTCTACATGAACGTAGCGTTGCCATCCGCCGTCATAATATTTGCTGCTCGTGCATATGGATGTCGAAGGCTACCATTTCGACTTGGAGCACGTCGAAATACTCGGAAGAGTCACAACCCGACAAACACGTGAGCCTGTCGAAGCCTGGTGTTCAAAGCAGAACTCGATCACTAAGCACTTAGATCTCGAAGTCGCTTACTAGGGACTACGAAACAGGACCTTAAAGCCGCACTGATGATGTTGTCTAGTCTGGCAGGAAACGTTAGCAAAATAATCATTCAGCTCGGAGAGCAGTGCAAAACCAACATCCACATCCCGAGCTACGGATGCTCTCAACCATTTCAGCATTTTTCAATTTATTTATTTAGATCATCTAGTTAGTGCACTGCCCTTGGGTCAGTGTAAGTGCGATTTCGAGCTTAGCACCTTACAGTTTCCATATTTTACGTGCTGCTTCGACGTGTACTCTGTGTCCTGTCTCACGATGTCCCGTGATCTGTGTGTTCTCATCGTGTTTTATGGCTACAGCAAGCGGTGGCTGGATGGTTCGTTTCTCTGCATGACAATCCACAGTCACTTAGTGCTCTCACAGAGGTGTAGTCGTCAACCTCGCTGAAGTGGTCGTCCTCAGCCAGAAATTGACGGTTGACTATCGTTGGGAACTCGAGATCGTTGGCCCCCACAGGAAAGGAAAAATTCCGGTTTTGGACAAACAGAGAGGAAGCGAACTTGATCACACCGTCCACTTTGAAAGTCATGTGGAACATACTTGAACGGTAAATAAAGCTCACGTGGAAACACCTGGAAGTGTCAACTTGCGACCAATCATGCAATGCCTCTATCGGGCTAATTGGCGGGTTCATCCAGTTGGCTACGTATTCGTTCAATCCATGCGGGATAGTTACGACTCACCGGCCATGCTTTGGGTCCGTATAGGCGATCGGTGCCTCGGCTGCTTGCCCGGAGATTTCCATCATAATACTCTCAGTATCCCAACCGGCATTCACCCGGTGGTAGCTGCGTTGCAGCAGAGCCTCCGTGCGTCTTCCGGCGTGGCGCACTGGGTTTCTTCGTCATATGGGCGCCAACTCTTATAGTGAATCTTCATCTTTCCTGTTATAGTGCAGTTGCGACAACTAGGCAGTTTTAGCGCATCATTCTCACAATATCTACAGACCAGTTTATATAGCAGGGCGCAAACCCGTCATTCAACGCGTATTAAAATTTGCATGAGTGACAGCTGTGCGCTAATCACTTACACCACCGGGGGAACACAACAACACGCCAGTAATCTCCGCTCTGCGTTTGAGACCCTAAAAGCCTGACATACGTTTAGTTACAATATCCGTGATAACGCCACTCAGGACTGCATCGTTTTATTAATGGATTCGTAGAATCTTCAAACCAACTAGCCTTTTTGGTCTGTGACATGCCATAAACAATCCCAGCTCCTCGGTTCAGTCCAGTGGCTGTACTGGGCCCCACACACGTTTATACGACCCCGCGACAGAGAACAAAAGCAAGCACTTCGCTTCAGGCTCTTTCACTGGCCCCGAAAGTAGCAAATACAGTGTTACAAAGCCCATTCTGTTACGTGATTTTTCACATAGAACAGTCTGTGTAATCCAAACCAGGAAATCGAAGTGAGCTGTAAGTAAATTTACATAATGTGAGTGTAAGTGGAACATTCCGGAGCGTGAATGTGATTACGGAGGCTTCGAAGGAACAGTGCCTTTATTGCGGAGGCTGGTCGGATTACAGTTGACTGAATTATCTCGCCCCATGTCTCGGAGAGGTGACTCTGCTCAGAAGAATGCGAATCGCAGGGGCAAATTTAGATTCACAAGCGAAGAACAAAAACATTACGTCATCAGACAATAGTACTAGTGTTGGTGATATTTTATATTTGGAACCGATTGTGAGTTTATCATTTCAGAGTGCTTTGTGAGAAATCGGTAAGTTTATTTAAATTTAACTAAGCTCACCAATTGCCCAAAAATCTCTCTTGAATCATTGGGGATATTTTATTTATTGACGGATCAAGGGACATGGACAGCTGATAGCTGATGACGCACGTAACGGTTAAGGATTTAGGAAACGACATCAAACAAGATGTGGAGCACCACTACTTTGTATTCCTATGTCATTTATGTGGAAAAAGTGGAAAAATTAATCGTTCACCATTCAGATCACGTGCGTCTGCAATCGTGAATGCATGCATGGCAAGTTCATGAAACCAAAAGTCGAATTTCCAGTCCAATAGATAGTGGTGGTCAGTGTCTAGCGTGTTGTTGGGCAAGGGATTTGAGTTATTTCTTGGGTTTGGTCCATGAAAGACCAGAGCCGTTGGAAGCATACGCTGCACATCACGTGATTTTAAACTGCTGTGGTCCAATGGTTGCGGCTTTATTCAAAATGTCTAAATAAATTTAGCGAAAAGCGAATTCCATTGTGCTATATTTCAAGGTCACCAGCCACAGATGAGGCCGGTCCTGCGGCTCTCGTCCAGACAGACGTCATACGCTAAGTCGAATCCTAGCCTACATAAAGTAGGACCTGCGGTAAAACATTGTTGCTTTAAGCAGACACTCGGGGTCAGGGCGGCTACACCTTGTCAACAACGCCATCACAAACAGCTACTTATGGCGCGAAAATAGGGCGACATCGACGAGACAGCTTCCTTGCGGCTTTCACTTCCCCGCGTCATAATCAACCATTATTTCGCAAATAACTCAACGTCAGACAATTTAAACTGGTACTCCGACTAGGAGATGACAGCAGAGACGTCACTGGTGTCGAATACGTGTCATGTCCCTTAACGTCTCGAGCCAAACACAGGGCGGGTCATTTGAACTCTAACCCGGTAGGCGAGATGGACCGACGGCACCAAGTTTGGTCGTCACTGACTTAATATCCTGCTAGCAAGTCAATTATTGTCCACCACGGGCCTTGTGCCTCTCTAGATCTGGCAAAACAACAAGGCTGTCCTCGGTAATCGATGATCAGGAATATCTAGTACGTGTCCAAGTCAATGCAACTTATTCAGTACTATCTGTTGTTATAAGGAACTAGTTTGGTTATCATTACCTAGCACTCGCTTACGCACATCATTGATGTGGACACCTTGCTGCCATCCGACACCAGCAATGCTTCTCAGACAGCGACCAAAGGCTTGCAGACGTCTCAGATCGTTAGATCGGATAGGCCAAGTCTCGCTTCCATACAGTAGGATAGCCCTGACTGTGGCCTTGTAAACACTACCTTTTTGACCGAGGAACACCCCTTGCTTACGCCACGGATGCCGCAGGTTCAAATAGACAGTTCCAGCTTTTGCAGTGCGTGAACTGACTTCAGTTTCTATGCACCCATCGTTGCTGATGCAGTTGTCAACCACCTCGAGTTCCTTGTTAGCAAGGATCAAGGGGTTATAAAGTGGCTGGCGGTACTGCAGCAACAATTTGCACTTTGAAGGTGCGATGCGCCTATCAAATAAATATACCACTCTAGAGTGGCTATTAATGGTTGCTTGTGCCGCCGCAACATCGTCGAAAAGCTATACGATATTGTCCGCATACTCAGGATCAACTAGCCTTTCACCAGGCAGGAGATCGACGTCTGCATAGTGAGATTCCGCAAGAGAACACTCCATGATGTGATTCACGACGAAATTGAACAAAAGCGGGGAAATAGGACAACCCTGAGGAACGCCACTTGTTGTAGGAAAGATGTCCTTCAGGTCACCGTAGACCCTAATGCGGCCTGTAGTGTCACTGTATAGAGCACGTAAGATTTTCACATATTTCGTGGGAACACCTTTCTGCGCAAGCATTTCGAGCAGAATGCATCGATCGACTGAATGAAACGCACTCTTGAAATGGAGGAACGCAGCTGTTGTCGGTCTGCGGTATGCGTGACGCTGCTGTGTCATTTTCCGCAGCGTGAAAATGTGGTCTTTACATCCACGTCCAGGGCGGAAACCTGCCTGCTCTTCTATTTTTCTCTGAGATTCCTGTTCCGTAATGAGGTGACGAACGAGGACCGAGGCCAGTAATTTTGTTACAACTGGCTTGAGGCTAATACCCCTGTGATTAGCACAGTCTGTGCGACTGCCATCCTTTTATACCGCCGCTGCAATTGGTTCACTCCAGTTTGCTGGCACTGTCTCTGCCTTCCGAACCTGCTCGAACAGGTGGGTCAGTGCTTTGCAGAGGACCTTACCTCTATTGTTAAGTAGTGCAGGTGGGAGGGAATCCGGGCCAGCGGTACGAAAAGGATTAACGGCTACGATCGCGTTTCGGACCTCTGCCTCCGATGACGCTTCTAAACTAATTGGCCCTGGTTCAGCCTACAATATCTGAGTAGGAATAGGTCCAGGAGCAGGGGGTGCAGCTGAACTGTTGTCGAAAGTACTTCGCCCAACGAGCCATGCGGCGCTCCTTATTGTGAATTTGTGCACCCACACTGTGTCTAATTGTCTTGCTGACGTCTGGTTTCCTTGGACCGGTAGTGCGAATCAGCTGGAAGAACTTTCGATACTTGCCTACTACTCCTGCCTCCTCGATTTCTTGAGCCCAACTGGTCCACCAGGCTTCCTTGTCAGCACGCAGGCTGTTTTTTTCTCACTTTATAGTCCATCTGGTCACATTGTGCTCAGAGCCAGCTGGGAAGTTTCTTCTGGACATCAACAGGTTCACCGATCTCTCGGCTATGCAGTGACTGGTGCGGTGACGATTTTTAGTGCCACAGGCAAAGGTTCCTGCGTCGCGCATGGCTGCCTAGATCCTACTCCACTGTAACTCAGTTTCATTTGGACAAGAGTGCGAAACTTTGGTGCTCAGTGCATCTTGTTAGGCTTGCCTGACCGATGGCTGAGATAACTTCTCAGTTGCCTCCTGTAAACTTATTGTACTAATGCATGATCAGAGTCGACGCAGGTATTCTAGGACGAGCGGCAATCGAGTATGGAACCACGCCACCTATAACTTATGGCAACCTGATCTATTTGGGTCCTATAGAATTGAAGGCTGGTAGGTCCGATTCTTCGTATGGTGGTTGAACTGTACGCTGAGCTTGGCAATTTTGTTGCAAAAGTTTCGTCGCCCATCGAAGTAACATCATCATTGCGTAGTTGAGTGGCGTGCTGTAACTGAGGGTAGCGTCGAGGAGCCTCGGTCCGTTGCTGGTCACTTACAGGAGGACGCCAATTGACACTTTGGCGCCTACTTTGTCTAAAAGCAATACTACTAAGAAAGAGCTGGCTCTCCGCACGCAGCTGTAACGGATGCTCACCGTTGTCTGTCCGTTCGGAGCTAAGTACATACTTACCACCTACCTGCGCATTCATATCAGAACTGGTAACCCTGCGTACTAGCGTGTTCAGTTCCTTATAGCAAGCGTCCTTCGCGGCATCAAAGCTGCAACCGGTGGGCGCATAAGCGGATACCACACAAAACAGCGTCTTGTGCTTCTTCGGGAATCAACCTTAGCTGATGTCGTCAAACGGACTGCACATAAACGGCTGCTCACTGGAATCCAATCAACCAGCGATGCCTGGACCTTGGAGCTGAGGCCCAGCTTGTCCAGTGGTTGCCGCATCTGCGTCCATGGATGCGAGCAACCAGTAGCGAGAGGACAAACCGGGTGCAGTTAATTCAACAACCCCGTGAGCGTCATTAATATTCGTTTCGGACACACGACACACGTCAGTATCTAGTATGTCTAACGTGCGTGCGAGTACTGCCTGTTTGCCTGTTTGTCTTAGAATGCGAAGGTTGCACGCCGCCAGGAAAATGGGACAGTGTGGCCTTATTATGAGGTTTTGGTAGTTAGTGTCCAGGTGATGGCGCGGGAACGTAGCTGCAGACAGTATGCCTCCATTGGCACTTCGGTTGCTGTCAATTAAACTGGGAATTATAGAAGAAAGGTTAGTAATGGGGGTCGGGATGAGAGTAAGAGAAACGGTTAGAAAAGAAAGAAGGTGGGCGCCAGCAGTAGCAAATTTTCGCTTATCCCCACTGCTGTATGCAGCGGATAAGGCGACCCTTGATAGGCTGCGCGACGGCCAACGCAGGATATAGTTGGAGTTTGGAGAAATTCTCTTGGTTGTAAGTGGGCGGAAGTGCTGCCAAGGCACTCAGACCTAGGCAGAAAGACGATTAGAGTCGTAATCCATAGCATTTGGCTCAAAAGCCTATCCGCAGTGCAGCGGGGTGGTTGCGGTGATGTTTTTCCACATGAATAGACGCCATCCTATTTCAAATCCCCAATCGGGAGAACCCGGAGACTGCGTTTGTCTGATCTCTAACCATTGACCAAACTTTTAGGAGTAGCTATTAAGAAGCCCAAGGTCCCCACCCGGTATTGTTTAATGGTTCGACAAGTTACGCAAACCGTCACACTGTGTCAAAGTCCAGTCTCGTCGTGACGTGGCATAGCACGGCTCATCCTCCACTGTAACGCAAGTGGCGAACTTGCCAGAGGACACTGCTTTTCTGGACATGCGCGAGACTGGCCGATGTGGGATTTTTGAAAGAATCCTCAATTAATTGCCTTAACGTCCGCTTATTCACAATTAATTAACTACTTCTAGTGAGTAATGTTGATTTGTGCGTAATTTTGAATGTAGTTCGTCGCATTCCCATCTGCACCTAAAATTGGATCCAAATTCCCACTACTCATTAGTGATTAACAATTCGCCAGCATTGCTGTGTTTTACACATTCGATATGCAGAAAGTCGTAGCTCTGGGACAGCTACTGCGCTGTGCACATTTTGGAACTGGCATGACAGTTGAAGATGAGCAGCGCTACCTCGTAGTCAAATAAATGCTTTCCGTAGATACGCAGCCCGGACTTTTCACATCTCTATTTATACACAGCTAAACCCAACCAGACCTCTGATACAGAGATGGATTTGTATCGCACCGCAAATTCCTTTGTTTATTTCAGCTTCGCAATTGACATTCCTTCCACTTCAGCTACATTTCTGGGCCGAGATCCCATTCTCTATGGACGCTAGTTGTTTCTCCTGCATTCGGAGCGAGACTCCGTGCTGACGTCATTGTTGGTGGCTAACGCTTCGCTTACCAAATGTTCATTTGTCACAAGTCTCGGCAACCGCTGCTGTAGCTGAGGGCGGAACTAGTGATGTTTTAAATTTCGACGAAACCCCACAATCTCTCGTGTCGTTTTGTAATAAACCCGATCGTATTTTCTTTCTATCCCTTTCCGTTCGCATTGCAGACACCTTCCATATGAATCCTCAGTTTCGCGTCCAAGTGATCGATCCAGATGAAACAGATCAAGACAACACGGGCACCATTATTGTCGGTTTGATGCAAATGGGGCGGCGCGAAACCCAGCAATCACCGCACACCATCGGATACGCGATCTATGCGGTAAGATATTGTGACGAGTATATTTGGAATCTCTTTTTTAACAGATGCAGACACACTTGGTCAACTATTCGGTGTGTTAGCAGAGCGAATCAGTTACGTAGGATGAATTGTATTCATGCATCGTATTTAAAAACTCGTGAAGTTGACCCCTATTTAGGTGCTGGTGCTTCCAGTATAAAAATCAGGTTACTCTTTGTGCTTTTGAATTGCACAATAGGCCTAATGGCATAGCCGTCAAAATGCAGGGAAGCCTCTCTGAATTGTAGTTTTTTTTCCTGATTTCATCGACAACTTGACTTCTCTAGGTCCAGTGTGTTGCGTGCCTGGTTCTCCCAGCCGCGTCGAGAGAAAGAACTTACACGGGCTCAACACACAAGCGTTCTATTCGCAAGTGAGACAATGTACAACTAGCTGTGATTTTAAAAACTCACCCGCCCACTCGATCGATCACTTGATCGACCACACTGAGGCAGATGATTCCCTTCGCCCCAGCTTCCAGACACCACCACATCCTTTCCGTTTTCGTTGTTTTGGTGTTACAGGTTCCGTTTCGCCTTCCACTGCGGCAGCGCTTTCGAACTTGGGCTGCGATCTTAGTTGACGTATCCTGCTGATGCGGCTTCTCCTCAGAGTGCAGAGCCTGTTCCCTGCATCGTCTTTTTAGCCGCATTCGATAGTTTTCCTTTCTTTTCCGACCCTTAGCTGCTCTTCTCTTCCGATTCCCTTCAACTATAAGTGTCTGTTTGAACCATATTTCATCTCCATGCGCTAGAGTATAATGCTGTCTGGTTTGGTGTTTGTGACGCGTTTTTCACCACCGTGAACGCTTTCGAATACGGCCTTGCAGACGATTAGTGGAAATTTTTTTGGGTTACAAATGTACGGTGACTTCAGTATCAGCTTTTGGTTGAACTAATTGTCCATGAATCGCCAATTTTGCATTAGCGCATCCCTCCTCATCATGATCCCACTTGTTATTTACTGAAATCTCTTGCGCTTCTTACTGATTGACACTATGAAGCGACCTAACACTGATCGATCGACAGCAACGGACGAAATGGTTTAACCGACCTTCACAATAATGACTTACTCTCTCTCTCGAGTGTTTCTAGAATGTCAGATTCTTTGTCGGGAACATTTTCGGTGGATTCTGAGTTTCCTATTCGTGTCTCAAACGATCAGAGATTTGTCTAGCCCCTACGAAGCAGTGGCCTCTCAGTGCCTAAGCTGCGGCAAAACTATCACCTCCCGAGCTAATACCGTGTTGCATTATCGAATCCTGACCTGTATGAATGTTTAAAACGAACGGCTTTTTCCGGCATTACATTCCACTGTGATCAGTGCCGCACTGTTCTAAGTGACAAGTTCCTTCTGGTCTGTCTGACCACAACGCAAAGGACCGAGATGAACACTGCACCGCCAACTGCCTCATCCTTTTCTTCTCCTTTCGCTATCACTGTGTGCGATCGCAGTCGGTCGTCCTCCGCTTCATCAGAGGGAACGCTTTTGTTTGATGCAGAGCACAATGTTCAGGAATCTGCAGTTTAAAATGTGACCAAAACGGAAGCCTACTTGGCGGCGGCGCGCACTAGATTTGAAAATGCAGCTACCGGGAACGTTGCCTCTACCCGAAAACTAGGAAGGCGGCCACCGGGGAGAAAGCGAAATTCAACTTAACTTCAACGCAACTGCAGAATATTTTAGTTAAAGTCACACAACTTGAGAAATTGATAACCGAAAAACAGGTTGCATCAAAACCAGAGGAACAGAGAGAAAACAGACCTCCCAGGGAACGATCTTTGATTACTACAAGTTTTCCGAAATCTGCCAATGTGACTCAAGCTGGTAAGATCCTTAACAACCAGGCATCTCTCAAACGAATGGCATCCATTCCATTCGACGGAGGGGAACAGGGCATCAACATCGTCTCAGCCTTCCGCTTGTTAGAAAGCAGGGACACCCTACGAAGTTCCGCCTCCTTAAACTCCTCTGTCAATACGAAGAAGGATGCCGCCGCCGCATCCTCTGACGCTCTTCGCGCCTTAAGGGTGAAACGTTCTTCGTCCTTAGAGACGTCTGTCCGGAAGACCGAGTTAAAATAAAAAAAACCGTCAATGCACTACGCACGCGTAGAGCCAATGGTGAAACTGATCTTCATATTGTAGGTTTTCGCGTAGTAATACGAGTAATACTTGCCAATGTAAGAAGCCTTAAGAACGAACTTGACGAGATTCCACTTCTCATTACTGAACACCATCCAGATCCATCGGCGTGTACAGAGACTTGGCTGTTCTCTGAGGTTTTGGACACAGAAATTAGCATACGGGATATCAACTCTCACGAGCTGCTCGTAATGATGGGGGAACCGAAGGGGGAGTGATTCTCTACTCGAGTAACTGCTTCAAAGTTCACATCCTTGAAGCGTTCTCCGACAATAACGCTGCCTCCGAAATGCTTCGGCACCGTATCCATAATGGCTACCAAACTTTCACTATTGGATTTGCCTACAGAACTCCGCCGAAGCGACCACTCTGTAGTCTCCTTCTTGCAGACACGACGTCTTACCATCACTGACCGCAGAGCATATCACCGTAGCTTTTGGCGTACAGATCCATCCAGATTATACGCTGTGGCAAGCTCGGAAGATTGAAGTATCCTACAGTCCCTGAGTGCCGAGGAAGCATAGAACTTACTCCTGACCAAGATGACGTCCATCATCGAACATGCCGTCCCGATGTACAAAGACAGACCAGTACACAAAGGACTCCCTAAATCGACGGAGAATTGAGGTGCTTACTGAACAGACGGCGTAATCTCTTTAACGTATTCAAGCGAACACAACTAGCTTCGGATTATTTAAAGTACAAAGAGGTTCGAAACTTGTGCATCCTGGAAAAGCGACAGAAGCGAGCTCAATGCGAACAATCCCGAAGGTGCCCGGAGATGCTCTTCTCATACATAAGGCGAAACACCATAGCGGAGGTTGGTATCCTTTCTCTATCTGTTCTTGGAAGAAGCACTGTACTACATCACGATGATGAGAAAGCCTATATACCGGCCTCGCAGTACTTAGGTGTCTACGAGGTACAGCCACCGTTGCCCAAGAATGACGTGTCCACATGCTCCCCAACTGTGGAAAATGTTGCAATTACCGTCGAGATGGTCTTGCGAATAATCCGTGAGTTGCACCATATCCGCTGCAGGCCCTGACGGATTACATCCACTATTCCTCAAGCTGTTGGCCGAGTACATCGCCGACCCAGTGTCTTAAGTATTCCGGATGTCACTTGTATAGAGCCGCTTACCTAGCGCTCGGAAAGTAAGAATAGTAATGTCTAAATACAAAGGTAACCGACAGGACCACACGAACTACCGGCAGGACCCTACGAGCTACCGGCAGGACCCTACGAGCTACCGGCCGATATGTCTGACGTCTGTTCTCTGCAATATCATGGGACGAATAATCAAGCGTACTCTCAATGTTCACTAAGAAGGCTTATGTGCAATCTCCCTCTCACAGCACGGATTCCGCAGAGCACGCTCTTGCATCAGTAACCTACTTGCTTCCAGGGAACCATGGGTTAAAGCAACAGACGAGAGGAAACACATGTATGTCTTCATTGACTTCAGCAAGGCATTTGACACACTGCCACATAAACTCCTTCTGTTGAAACTTCAGAGAGTTGGTGTCACCGGAAACCTCTTGTCCTGGATTTCAGACTTCCTGGAAGCACGAACCATTCGAATGAAGATGAACCAGGCTCTGTCCCTGTGCTTATGACCAAGGCTCCGTCCTTGGAGCAGTGCTCTCTAACCTGTACATCAACGATCTTCCAGCGGCACTACAAAACGTCTATAGTCTACGCTGTTGACCTCACGCTGTGTTCTGAAATCTCTCCGAGGATGACGACAGACTCAAAGTTTCGCTTGACCAGCTGCATAACTGGCCTGTTGGGTGGCGACCCCCGAGAAACCGTGACTGATATGCCGTTCTGCCGATTGGGGGCCCGGATTCTTTTCAGTGTGTATCATATCGGAGGATATCTCAAGTCTGTCACACATGAGAAGGACCTGGGAGTCATCGTCTCGCACGATCTCAAGACATCACTTGACACGCAGAAGAAAGTCGCGGCAGCCAACCGAATGCTCTGGGCTTTGCAAAGATCGTTCTATAAAATTACGTTGGAGATCTTTAGAACACTGTTCGCCTCGCATTTGCGTCCAATCCTAGTGTATGGTCTTCCGGCCGCTTAACGCCTAACGAAATCTGAGCATGATCTGATAGAGGAGATGCAGATGCACGGTTCAAAATCTACATCGGAGCTTCGGGATCTCCCTACACTCTTCCACTTAAGACTTTGAATCTGTTCTCCATGGAATACCGCCGCCGTCGCGGAGATCTCTACACCAGACGCATCCTAAGGGGAGAGCTTGGAAGTGAGCTGCAGCAGTTCTTCCATCTAAGTGTGGGCAGCTCGACACGTGGCCACAAATGGAAATTATTTAAGCCGAAGACAATTCGCGTCCCTCCGCAAGCTGCCTTATCTTCCAGAGTGATAAGTGATTGGAACAGTCTGTCGAAACGCATCATTGACTCGCAGACAGAGAACAATTTCAAGCTTTTGCTAGACACTCATCTAACACACATGCAGGATAATGCTGCTCTTACTTCTTACTTCAGAGGTGATGATCTCCGAAGGAGTTACGCTTCCAGACAGCAAGCACCCACCTTGTGATGTTACGGCACCGATGGAGCTAACAAGGGGTTTCCCTCTTGCTCTCAGTATTCCAATGTGTTCCAATGCGTCTAGTATCCGCATCGCATCATAGCTCATGACATACCTGAACGTGGCTAACTGATATGGCATAGGATATTAATCCAACTCGATCAGTGTCGCGAAGTTACTCCACTTCGTTCTCCACAGGCTCCAGTTTTCGAGCAGCGAACCTCCCGTCATTTGTAATGGAGTTGGCATCACTACAAACGGCTGCCAGGTAAAGCAAAGCTGCCAACTGCCTATTGGGTTCTTCTTATGCTCTGACACATTGTTACGTGCCTGGTTCTTCCAGTCGCGTCGGGTGAAAGAACTCACACCGGCTCAACACACAAGCGTTCTATTCACAAGTCTAAAGGCAATGTACAACTAGCGGTGATTTTACAAACTCACCCTTTCGCTCGATCGACCGCACTGAGGTAGACGATTCCCTTCGCCCCAACTTTCAGCCACCATCACACAGTACAGTGTGCTATCCAGCTATCAAGCTGTTTACTTTGTGACAACTACTCCTCTTCATTACTTCACACAAGAGTATCGGAAGACACTTTGTGTGAAGAAGCCACGATTTCCTGCACCGTTCGGACACATGTGCCCAAACAACAGCATTCCCTGAAATCAAGGTTACACTCGTGTGTTATCGATAGGTGTTCATCCAACCGCTACCTTAAGCTCCGTACAAAGAGCTGTGGTTGCTCTGATTCTACAAGAAATGTTATCAAAAGGATTGAGAACATGAGATTTCTGATTACTCACAAGGCCGTGTATGGTCCGACGGGATCGTCTTTATTGATTTTGGCTCAATGCTTGTTGTTTCGGCATTTCAAGTTTTCCCAAGTATGCCTGTCACCTATTCTGTTTTTTCCACTCGTGAATGTGTTCGCATATTCGAGCAAACAGCTTTCGATCGTTGCGTCCATCATGGCCTTCTTCATAACTACAGGGGATTTTTCTACACTTTAGGACACGGTCAACCGTAATACAGTGGCATTGTATGCCTTTCAACGAAGCGCTTCTTTCCGCGATGATTTTTGGACAGTAGCCCAGTAATGATTATCTTCTTTCGAATTGTAGCTTGTTCGCTCTTCATCCCGTGATGTTTCTGAGTTTCCTTCGTAATTTCTGTGGATGGACGTTGGACTCTACTTACGAGTTAACCATATTTACCCGGACTAGTCAGGCAATGGAGAATTGGCTCGGCCTAACATGAACCAACCTTAATCTGGATCTAGGCAATTGGGTTGGACCGAGCGCTGCGAGCCCTTGGCCATTAGCCAACATCATAAGAGGAAGCAGTGAGAATTGGCCAATGAGATGCCGTTGCAATGGAATGACGTTTCATCTTTTTTGTGCCCTATACGTAATTGCGTTTTACCGGTAACGGATTCTGACCATTGCCCAGATTTTGTTTTGACTCTCAAGTTTTGTACCGGTACAAACTCGTTATGCCGGATCTGAAACGTGTAGCTCACTCTCTATGCTTGGAGTGCCGAGTGGTGAAACATTGGAACAGTTTACACGAGACAATAACTATCCAGGCATAATCGGTGTCGGAATTGGAGCGATTCATAAATGACCACCTTGCGGGGCGCATCTCATCCGAATAGCATATGGCGCAACTGTAATATGCTACTAACGCACAAGAATCAGTGACTTGAGTCGGCACACTTGCCCGATCTAACTACGATGGAGCAACCTAGGTGCATATCTACTGGCTCTCTATTTAGTACTCTCGAAGGGCCTAGTGGTCCGCAGTTGTGGATTTCTTAGTGAAGTTACATCACGCTTCTGCTAATGTTGCTGACAGTGTTGGATAGTACGTTTGACCTGAAAGCTCATGTAAGTCTGGCGCATCAGGAGAAGGACGATGAATCAAATCTACCGCGTGCTCTCGTTAATAGACCTTTGGGTTGCCTTCCTGAAGACGATTCTGTACGGCATATTACATTTGTAAACCGTAGCAGCATATCGTGTTTCAAATTGTCTGTGGCGTTTGGAGAGTGCTAATTACTACATGAAACTCCCGTAGTCTCTTTTCAGTAGTAAAACATTTGCGTCGACTGAAGAGAACAGATAGAACAGCTAGTCAAGCCAGGAAAGCGCTTTTGTGCATACAGACGTACGTCGTTAATTTCGTGGCTTTTAAGCGCCTCTCCTTGAACTGCTGACACTTATCTATTCACCCTCGATTGGAGATCGGCTTTTTGCCCAGTTTTCCGTCCCCAACGGATGTGTGCAATTCCGTGCTTCGCGGTTGACATACCAGGCTCTGTATTTTGTGCCATAGTGGCTAATTCTATTCCATAACCCGTTATGAGTATACACATTGTATATCGCGCCACCTATCTTGCCACACTATCCATTTGGGAGAAGTGAATCTCATTGTCTTGTCTCCTTCAACCATCAACGTTTTGAGATAGGCTGCCACTTTCGACTTTTGCTTCCACAAGGTCGGTGATCAAACCTCCGCTTATTCCTCACTGCGATCACACACAATGAATCGCATGTTTCTTGCACATCCTATATGCACTTTTTTTATTGCGGTTATTCTTGTTTCCTCTAGCTCTCCGGAAGATCCGATCGAGATGGCCCGCTTGGGAAGGCTTTCTTCATCGCCAACACCTCAGTGGCTCGTTCTCCATCGTTTACCAACATGCGGGAGGTCGTCGGACGGCATAAACTGCCCCCTGGGGAATATGTCATTGTTCCGTCTACCTTCCAGCCCAATGAAGAAGCTAAATTTATCCTGCGAATCTTCTCCGAATGCGCATGCCAATCCAAGTAGGCAACTAGTAATGCTTCGGAAAACTGGTAGCTCGGGTTGATGGTTCAGTTGCTCATTCATTCGCCAAGCTTGGAAATTTGTCAGCAAACGTTTCACCACCATGCTAGGCGGCATCATCAGTGCGCTGTGATGTAGTGTATCATCTTACTGATTCAGTTGTCAATCCATGATCAGCGTGCAGGTGACTTTGAAAGTGACGACTTCGATCTGCACCCCGTGATCTCTATCCATTTTCCCACAGCGGAAGTCGTCGCTCGAGTTTTTCCTAATCAAGCGGCGTCTTGTATTTTCTCTAACTTCTTTCCGTCGGACGAGCTGGTAAATTGGGTTGAGGTCGATATGCATGTTGATGGAGTCTTCCGTTGAGAAGCACACTTCCAGGAACTCCCTTTCTCTTCTTGTTTCGCTTCGTGCCAGGACTTCTGTTTTGACCCAATCGAAGCTGTGTTCCTTTTCGTCCACGTGCTTCGGTTGTGCCAAAGCTAAGTCCTGGCACGAGGCGAAACAAGAAGATAAAGGGAGCGTGCTTCTCAACCAAAGACTCAATCAATATGCATATCGACCTCAACCCAGTTTAGCAGCCCGTCCGACAGAAAGAACTTAGAGAAAATACAAGACGCCGCTTGATTAGGAACAACTCGAGCTACGACTTCCGCTGTGGAAAAATGGGTAGAGATCACGGGGCGCAGGTCGAAGCCGTCACGGATTGACATTTGCATCAGCGAGATTATACTCTACATCTCAGTGCACTAATGATGCCACGTCGCATGGTGGTGAAACGTTTGCTAACAAATTTCCAAGCTCGACGAACGAATGAACCAGTCATGCTGATATTCCTGTTATCTTTGTTTGGGTTAAAATTTTTAATTTTTGCACACACTCCACTCCTTATTTAAAGCAAGAACCTAGATCTCAATTGTCTCCATCTTGGGTAGCACGCTGATGCTCAACTTATTTTCTGGTCTCCTGTGCTGCTTCACATATCGTCTTGGCTATCCGACTTAACGTCACAATTTGTATCTCCACCTGACTCTGCAACCTCCTTCGGTGCCTCTTGCCACTGCATTGAAGCCTCTGTTGGTTGACCTGGTGGACACTGCCTCCTGCGCTGACCCCTAGTCAAGATCAGCTAGAACTTGTACAAAAGTTCAGCTACCTAAGAAGTTGTATCAGCGCCTGTGGAATCAAAGACATGGTGACAAATCATGTAGGAAAAGCTCGAGGCACTTTTGCTAACCTTCGCAGCCTATGGCGCCGTCGTTACCTTACTCTCACTGGAGGGTAGAGTTTGCAATGCAGCCGTACCTCGGACTTCGCTGTACGGTTGTGAAATTTGGCCCATTAGGTCGGCAGACATTAACAGGCTAGTTACATTCCACCACATGTGCCTTCGCAGTTTGGCTCATATCTGGTGGAATCACCGTGCAAGCAATCTACGTGTTCCGCGCCTTATTTATGGCACAGGAAGTCGAAATGAACTGCTCAGTACCGTTATTCCACACAACAGCCTCCGATGGCTAGGCTAGGTGCTGCGCATGCAAACACACCGACTCCCGCGGCGTGCGTTCTTTGCGTGCCTTGGGTGTGAATAGAAAAAGACTGATGTAGGCCAAAGGATAATTTGATTATGAGGATCAAAGGCCCTTAGTTCGAAGTTGTCCGCGGTTGGAGCGTCTCGGCTCCCTGGTTGGAGTCCGAAAGACGACGAACTCGTTTGACTGGATACACTTATTGACATTGCAAGGAGCCGACCTCAGTGGCGTACATGTTGTGTTACTTTGTTCTTGCTAGTCCCACTTAGCATTCCCCTCCAACCGAAATCTGATTTCCTAGCATAATACAAATTTTTGCAGCACAATATCCACCTAGTAGCTTTCCGGAACGATACCCATCCGTAACTGCTGACTCAGTTGGTGTGCCTTTGTTGTGTGTTCTTTTTCTTTTCTGTTCTCGTTTATTGCGGCACAATGCCTGACGTATTCTCCACTTCTAGCTAACAGATAACAGAGGTGGCCGGAATGTAGAGGTGGTCAACTTTGGGGGTTTTCTGTACGTAGTTTGCGCATGCACACATACTGGCTCACACAGTCCTACTTTGTCCCCACTCAGTGCACACTGCAAAGGCACGAGTGTCAAGCTTTGAATCATTCTAATTCTTTTGGAACCGACATTAAGGTGAATTCAGATGATCAGTTTTTTGCCGGTCGTCGTTGGCCGTGAATGTATCCTCATTTCTGACCGTTCTTTTTTTATCCTGGATGCATGAAAGTAGAACCTATTCCTCTTGTTCTGCCCCAAAGAACCGGTTTGCTAATGTTCTTCCACACTTGCTTAAAGTGATGTCTTCTAACTTATTACACTGCGCTCCTTCCATAGCTTTTCATAGTGAATTGCATCCATATCGCTTTCGAATTCCTCCTTAAAGAAATCGTGTTCCTCCATGGACACCTCAAGATGGTCCTTACCGCGGTCAAATTACACACGACGGACGCGAACGCCCCTGAATGAGCACTATTCGTTGTGAGACCAATCCCAAATTAGCCAATAGTACATCAGACGATTACACAAAACGGGATACTTTTGGCTGACGTGCGATTGTCCACTAAACGAGCAGTACTCATTAAGGGGCTATCGCGTTCGTAGGTTGCAATTTGATATAGGTAAGGACCAACTTGATAAACCTGTTGAGGAAAATGATTTCCTTAAGAATGAATTTGGAAGCGCTATAGATGCAGTTGGCTTAGAAAAGGTATAGTTGATATGGAACCCTATGAAACGGCCCAACCAGTATTGCGTCATAACGGAACTAGGCAAAGCGGTACAGAACAGCAATACGAACCAGTTTATCGGAGCACACGCGCTGTAAAACATGGAATGAAAAGTTATTGCTCAGCCGACACGAGAATAGCCAGTAAGCACACAATGCGGCTGAACTAAATGAATCGATGTCATCCTTCCACGTGACACTCAGATTTCTAAACAAATCAAGGACTCATCAAATATGAAATTTGTGATGTAATTCACTGAGAGCTTGTCGCACCAGCTTCCAGCTGAGATCGTCTCCCAAATACCCGGAAAATCATAGGTAGTGCGCATCCATCGGATCCATCAGGATTCGAACCCATGACCACCAGCAGCTTGTACCACCAATCTGCGCTTATGGCACTGGGCCATGGGGGACATTGTCGGACCATCATGATTTGCAAGCCAGCTGCGATATGGTCGTCTTATCCTCCACCGCCATGCAATTTACTAACGTTGTAGAGGACATAGTTAGCCCAGAATGACGGCGTCTACTGCAAGTGCTATCTGCTGTATTGTAAATAACTGAGATTCCTTCGCACCAGCTTCTAAATCAAATAGTCCTCCATTCCCTAGCCTGGTGAGATTACGCGAAATTACTGAATTCAGTTCGCACAAATCGGGTTCCAACCTTTGAATTGCTGAAGCAATCGATCATTGCTGCTCCATAAGTCAAACTCCCCGTGAATTCAATTTATTCCCGTACAAATGTAGTTCCACCTTGCTCTTTTGCAATTTGCGAAGGGAAATTCTTGCATGAAATCAGGAACGACTTATGGTGCTTCTCAAATCAGCAGCCTCAGATGTTGCATATTCAATCACCGTCAAAGTACTGGGTTTGCGAGAGTGGCCCACGGTCGGCCGTTGGCCGAGTGGTCTGCACGTTTGGTTTGCAACCATGAGGTCACCAGTTCGAATCCGCGTAGGGGTGGGCGTCTTCGCGGTATACTCAGCCCGCGCGCGACTGGTGGTGGTCGCGCGGCAGCGAAGCGCCTTTACGGCGTACAGCTGACACATTATTATTATTATTTATTATCCATAGTCCTAATCCATACCATCTTATCCCCAAGCTAGCAGTGGAACAAGTGTGAGGCAGAAAACTCAGCGTTTCTGCTGTTCGCATGTGAAGTAAGAAAACCACCATTTGCTTCAAAGTAAACGGCTCGTATGCGTACTCTCTGTGCGCGATCTTTTGCGATTCGTTTGAGTCCTATCCGTTGCCATTCCGATACGCGACTTACCTCATCTTGATCAGCGTATCCGTATATTAAATTCAATAATAAAAGTGATGATAGCAATAATAATAATAATAATATCACGAATAATAACCATGGGGGCGTTAATCACTAACCAGAGCCCTCACTTAGATGGTCATCATGGCACAGCTTATTTGGCTGCAATCTAAGTTTAGTGTATACAAATGCAACAAAACTTACATCAAATGCGGGTAGCACGTTCAAGTTAGTTGACAAAAACAAGTATGGGTACTTGTCGTGCATCAAATGACAACCACTATTAATTCTTTCCTTACTTGACTGTATTATAAGATGTCTTTCCACGGTGGTCATCAGTCAGAGTGCGTGATGGCGAATAGCCGTAACACGGCAGTGCTCATCACAGCAAGTCTTCCTTCAGTGGCGAATTCGTTACGCGACAGAAGATGTATTCACATTGTTCTGCTGAAATTCTGCCCATATCACTAAGAGGGTGCTGATCACTGTCCGACTCTCTAAGGAACTAAACACCTTTCTACTACCATACTTGATGTCCTTGGTAGATAGGTTGCGAGTGTTTCGTGGTAATTTTTATTCCATGCATAGTGGCTTCAAGTGGACTATGTGCCACTTACACAATTTCCTCGGAATTACATTTTCCTTTAAGTTCATCATTATTAAATTTGTACGTGACCGGATATTGCTATCCGATCTCGTGGTCTGAGGCGCTTTTTTATTGCCCTGGAAGCACCTTTCTCAGTCTGAAATCCGGCACAAGCGCTAGCGATTTGTCATGACCCACATACATTGCTGATTGTGACTTTTAGTGGTGTCCATTGTTTGAAGACGTCTTAATTTGACTACATCCTCTGTGTCATATCTTCATAATTATATCCCTTTGTATCACAACTGACTTCAGATGAACGGCTTTCCTGCACAAAGTGTTGTCTATTCAAGCTTTCACATATGCTGATAATATGCTTCATTTATCTTACTCCCCACAATGAGATGAGAGTCCGATCACCTTTAAACGCCTATCTTTGGTTGTGATATTCTTGATGTATCGCTTTACTGAGTTCTCTGGGAGCAAACCTCGTCGATCTAACACATTTGATATGTGACAGAACGATAGTCTACATTAAACATGTCCTATGATCTAGAAATGTTTCATTCGGTAATACTGTAGGGATTTTAATGTATTTCTGCAAGATTTCGTCGCGACCACTTTCAGTCAGGCTCTCATCACACATTCTGCACAGCGACAAATGGTCGTTGCGTTTTATCGGCATTCAGTGCGCAGGATTCGTGGCGAACACTCTTCTTTTCCTCTTGTGAGGAAGTTTCTCATACCGCCCAGTCTGGAATGACGGTGCTTTATCTACAGGACTACGATGTAACACGCCTTACTTTCTGCTGTCTTTCACGTTCCCATTGTGCAGATAACGGGATTGGCTCTGTTAGTGTCGTATGCTGTCTCTGCCCGTAGTCTTAAGGATCACGAGCCTGCCTTGTAATCCGGAGGTCGCGGGTTCGAACCTGCGTGCAGACCGAGCGACCCACGTAGTATCCTTAGCCCACATGCCACTGATGTTGGTTGCGCTTCACCGAATCGTCGATACTGCGTACCGGCGTACTGTTTATCTCCTATTTTAGTGATAGTATTTCAATGACCGTATCACTGAGGAGGTCACACCCTGTATTTACTGGCAAGTCCATCTGGTCTTCCTTAATTTCCATCGTCTGTAGACGTAACAAGACGCGTTTATCAGTCAACGTAGCTTGTATAATGCTGCGATCGGGCCGGTGTTATCTATGAATCGAAAGCGCGGCCACTTCGCACTGAGAACATTATGAAAGCGACCTGCTTTTGTCACCGGTGCTTGCGTTGCTCACATTTGCTGACAAGATACCGTGATACTGAATTCCGCCAGTTGGTGTTTGATAGTGTTATTTGTGGTGACGCACTGGCGAATCTGTTAAAGCTTGCTCATATCTTCCGTAATCCCGCTGTCTGCCTTTCTTGGTGTGCGTTATATATTGTTGCTGCATCCAGTTTGGTTAAACGGCGTGTCAGCGACGTGGCATAAATTCATGACAGAATTGACCGGGCTACATGTTCCGGTTGCTGCTTTGTCCACTCTCATTGGCGCTAGAGGCCCTATCGAATACGGGTGTAGTTGACAGTACGGCGACGTTCTACCATTCGCTTACTTCCATCCGGCTGTTAATCCTCATTCTACCCCTCGCCACCTTTTTCATTGCGTTCTGCTACCGCATTTCCTTTACCATTGTTCTTTGTCGTTATCCGGGCGGCGCACGTCGTGGCAATTGGATCCACCGCACTTCGGTGTCCGGAACACACAGCTGTTTGGCTGCACCGCTCTGGGAATACTTGTTTTCCAATTCGCTGTTCTCTGAGCATCCTCATCCACTAATTACCAGGGCCAATCACGTTGAAGAATGTGTGTTATGTGTGTAGCATAAGGATTGACTACAGTGTGGACCGGGACGACGCTGCGCTGTGAGCTTGTCGTTGGCGTTTGAATCGAACTCATCCGACTGGTCAAATGAGCGTGCCAACAAGAGATGATTTGACTACCGCTCGTATTGGCTGTGCTTCGTTGTTGCCCTGACAAATGGCATGTGATTGTCGTAATGGCTGGGGCATGCCAGTTATGCTCAGTTTCCTCCAACACACTCACTGTAATACTCCTTCCTCCCGCCGTAACTCACAGTAGTCATGGGGTGATGCGCGGTGCGTTGCGGGCACCACGGATTGTGGTTTCTGTTTCGGATTCAGTTCATTCCGCCCTATCGCACTATGACGACTCAACGATTTCCATGTTGTGTGTGTTCAGCGACATTTGTCCCTCTTGGGTAACATTTGTGCAAACACAATTATTCCCATTCATCTGGCCTCGACTGCTTCACTCTTCACACCAATCTCTTTTGCTTTTCAGTGAAATCGATGACTCCACAAGCATTCAGGATGCCTACAAGGTACGTTTGTCTTTCGCCCTCGTTCTGTACTGAACCTCCCGTGAGTAATGTTACGCATACACTCCTTGGGGAACCATTCTGTATGCAGTATAGGTGCTACCTTGCAATATTACACACGGTTACTTGTTGCCACTCGATTTTCACTAGCCAAGAGCCGGTCTCAGCGACGTTTGCCTCGTGAATTTTTATCACCTCTCCCACTTAACAATCCCTTGCAACCACCATCTATTCTCAATGTATCAGAAAAACATACTATTTTCCTTTTTTTTTATCTTCGTCTAGTTGAGCTGCATCACGGTGCAATGTCCGAGGTGTTTATCACTTGTGGCCAACATGTAGAATGCTGACGACCATGGTTGTCCGTATAACCGGTTTAGGTCCCTGACGTACTTATTGCTTGCTTTCTAAATAATTCACCAGGACGCATGTGTGACTGGGGCCACTCCCTGTGCTCCTGTTCCCATGATGATGCTTTTTACTTATTTGGTGGCTTGTTGTGTGTTATCGGCTTCTGTCAAACAAATCTCTAAGCTAAACTCTATGCCTCGCTATCCAATCAGGTTTTTATGTTTGGAAGTTGGGAGAAGTCTCAACATTGACAAGACATTTTACCCATCTCAAATTGGCTACATCAAGGAACTACACCGTTTCTCTTTTCCGATCGCGTACAGCTGTAGAAACATTGACTGCACATCGTTGGTTCTCACAGCCCAATGTCGTTCCCTGACATATCGGGTGCCGAGTCCATTTCTAATACTTCTTCACCGTTAACAATACGATACACACCTTACGATTGCCATTTTTCTATTAACTCCGTGCATATCTACACACCTAGCCTGATATTTGGCTCAACGCACTATTTTTTTACCTATTAATCAACTTTCTTAGGTGGTCGATCGGCAATCACCCGACACTTCCTTCCTTCTTTGAAGTGTTGCACGTGTGCACTCCCTCTATCTGCCATGGGATCCGTGCGTTGTCGCGACTTGTGTGAATTATCTGCCGTAGGCCCTAACTCAGGGCGGATGTTGTCGACCCACGTGATCACCCGTGTTCATTTCCATTTTGCTCGCGTACTTTGTGCATTCTCCAGAGCTGTCTACCCAGCAGTGAAATGCACATGCTCTCGCTGTAAAGTCGCATTCATCAACCATTGCGTCCCGTCATCTCCATTGGCCTATATGTTTGAGAACAAGTTCCTCGCTGACGCTGATCTATTCTACAGGGTAGCAACGTGCGAACATACCGACTGTAAAACGTGTTTTATCTTTGCCCTGTGTCCATAAACGATGAGGATGTCAAGGAATTCTCGTTGCCTCAGTATATATCACGAAAACCGACAGCTTGCTCGGCTTTCTTACTGATGCTGGATGCTTCCGGCCAAACAGTTAAACTACTTAAGCGTATGACGACGTCTATTTTTCGTCCCGTAGGTGCAATGCCGTAACGATGAGAGGACGGCCACTGGCAATTGATGACTGCTTTCCTGACATCATGGGACCAGACTTCTTAAGGCATTTGGTTATCCCAGAACATGAAAACCCCTTTGACCAGGCCGGCTGTTGTTGGTGGCGATCTAAATTTATGCATCAAGTCTTTCTGCAATCGACTGCTTCTAATTAGTTACTCTCTGCGCGTTCAACACACAGCTTAGATCTGGTCATCGAACGGTGCCACTTAGTCCCATTGTCGGCTCCACTGCACCTGAAAGCTTTATCACGTACATTTTATGCCGGCATAATATTAGTCCCTCTTGTTTATCCCTCCACGATTTCTTCCCGTATTTCGAAAGTTTTATGTTCCAATTCACATTACTTCTATCCCCCCCCTCAGGCCAGCGTTGCACATCCGGATGAGTCTTCACTGGAGGAGAAACTCAGAGAGGCCTTCAACGATGTGTCAGGCCCATCCGGAGGCATTTCCCACCGAGAGTTGGCGGATATCCTCAACGCCGCCTTCACCCGGGGTAAGTGTACTGTCATAGATCCGAGTTCATTGATCTAACGGTTTTAGTTGCCGCCGGCTCTTTATTGCATTTAGCAACGCCTGGGTGGCCTTTTGATATGATTGTTCTGTTCTATGTGCGTTTAGCGCACGCACAACTGTATGCAGAGTCATGGCACCTACCCGTCACTTGCCCGCACACCAAAAGGGAAGATCGAAATCGGATGGCTCTGCACACATTTGTGCGTGCGCAAGTGCAAGTGAAGTCGTGTGAGCACTTGCGGTCAAATACAGTTTGTCTATTTGGTGGCCGAAAAACTAAGATAACTGGTCAGGTTTTGTAGTGGCGCGTAATGTGAAGCATTGGACTTGCGAGTCTTTGCTTGATTACGAGGTATTGTCCCATCATATCGGAATTTTTGTAGAGGAAGTTGAATGTTGGCACTGAATATGAGTTGGCACGCTGTGATGGTGTCCTGAGGGAAACTCTGTTATTGTCAGTGTGGTTTTGTGTGGGAACTGCTGCAGCAACTGAGGATCTCCGGTGGTTCACTGCGGCTTGGCACGATAGATACACTAGTGTCAGTTTGCACAATAGATGCATCATTGTCCTTGGTAGAGCTCAGTTGGTTCAGTGTGGTTTGGAATCAATATCATAGGGACGGCTCGGTTATTACTAGCGCAGTCTGAGCCGCCGCATACCGATTGTATGTCTGAGGGGATCTCGATGAACACTGCCCAGGTTTCGTGGGACTATGCGAGCTCCCCGACAAGATCATGCACAGCATTCAAATCGATTCGCGTGACGCATTCATACCGATCTACTGTGTCCCCGGACTTTACACACGGGCGGTCAGATATCACCTGCTGTCGACAGCAGAGGCGATTGCAATTGGGCTCTATAACCCGGACCTATGTGCACAGGAAAAGCTCGTTCATACTTTAACCTTGACTTGGCCTCACATCAACGCGACTAACAATGGCAGTCACGCCACTTCTCTTGACCTCGCCTCAATCAGACCAAACACATCGACTTATCGATTAGTTACTCTGCTTCAGTGACCCAATTTAAATCAGTTGTGTCTAATCTAGCTTGCTTTATAGTGGTTGTATTAGCCTGATGACGAAGCCCTGAAAACAAGCTTGTTCGCTACTTTCTGTTTCTGATGTCATCTCCTGGAATTATTTCTCAATTGAAATAACCCGTTTGTGTTGGCTTTCTCTGTTAGACACTGGACTTGAAATTCGATAACAGCTGTAGAGTCTATAGCATCTCTACGACCTTGTACAATGTGTTGCTAAGTACAGTCACCAGACGGCTAGGTTTGTAATTTCCGGGGAGATGCTCATCGTGGTTTTATGGGTGGGAAACCAATCCTTACACAGAGGGCAGTTTCGATGTACTTACTCAGAGGACACGTTATCTGAAGAAACACTCTCCCAATGTGCCGCAATTCAAAAAGATGACTTATATGGGAACGTGTGATGACACATTGTATCATATTACGCATAACGTGTGAAGACAGGGTTGGATGTGGAAGATAAGCGAGAGGGGTGGGCCAAGGTAATTCACAATACGGACGCCATTGGGGTCGGCTCTTCGCTGTGTCGACAATTGTATCCAACCAAACATGTTCATTGTCCAATAGACCCCAGCCCGGCAGTCGGGAGACACCAACTGACCACAACTTCGAAGTGAGGAACTTCTTTCCTCTTGGCCGAATCATCGATTAGCCTCTCATTCACAGAAAGCCGCGTGATTGATCCACATTCCGTGATTACCAGTTTACACACATCTTGTGTCAAATTGCGTCTTCCTCACCAGCTTTGTTGGGGTTCATCTCTCGCACGAGCACAGCTGACACCGCCTCACATGTGCGGATTTCAACCATAAATACATCCACCGCTAACCGATGTGGGGCACTTGTGTCTGTCGGAACAACACTTCGAAATACTGTTTCCACGGACAGGCATGTTCTGTCGTCCCATGGCGGAGCTGTACGCTATCGGGCCAATCCCCAGGTTGCGGATCGGGGAATTCCTTCCTTGTGGAGGTAACTGCGAATAAGTCTCGTTTGCTTTGTAGGCGAGATGAATAAGCAGTCGCGGACAATTAGCGGCAGCGTTTCAGAGCGTGGGGAGTTCTGGGGTGGTCACCTGGTTCTCCATTAAATACCACAAGTGCTCGTACGGCGCTGTGTCAAAGCCAATGTGACCGACTATAGGGTCACCGACCACTCACTCCTATACTTGGGGTTGAGTATCGAACGGAGGGCGGATGAACAACCTCGCTGGCCACAGGCTTCTCTGTGGCCTGCTTCCGAACACAAAGAAGGCGAATGAGCCACTTGACTGTCAACGGTCTTTGTGAATCACCCCGCTGCCTTGCGGGTCAGGTCTTTAGACCAAAGACTCGGGATGCGGTCCCTTAAGTCAGCCCACTTCCTCGGCCTGGGCAACCGAGAATCTCAGTGCCCACACAACACATAGAACTTTGCTTCCATTCCTTTGACTCAATCTCTCCTTTTTGTTATTGTTACTCATGTGTTATGTCACTCTGCCAAATATTTATTGGGCAAGTGTTAACTTAATAAATAAAAGTTTTGTCGTGATCAATTATCGTGGAAATGCCGCCGGATCCAGCTAACATGTGATTGGACAGATTCATGTTAAGCGAAACAATCGCTTGGATTTTTTGGGGCGGAGTTGGCAAACTCCATTTCACCATGGATTCTAGCAGCTTGTAACACTCAGAGTTTGGTAAGCTTTTACATAAGGATTTGACCACCCAAAGGATTTGGATTCATCCTAGTGCATGAATCATGAAATCAGCGGCTGCAACTGTCTCAGTGCTCTCCTTCACCTCCATTACTAACTAACAAGTTCAGGGCATCCAACTTTATCACATAACGATTACTGAATCAATTGAAAGAGGATATGGGGATTACTTTAAATGCTTCTTATTCTCCGCAACGAAAAACAAACAAAGGCCTTCAAAAAGAGATATGGTAAACTTGAACCGATTCGCACTTCACCAGAAGTGTCAGCGGGAGGATCTCGGGCACGACACGTTTGCACTTATTTAGAATCACCAAAACTGCTTTTATGCGGAGGTATCTGTAAATACAATTTGTGAATTATCAGTATGTCAACCATCCTCTTCAGTCTCATCACGTTTGACGTCACACACGATCAAGCCGACCTCAAGCGTTCGCATGTGCAGAATGATCCAATTTTTTCTGGTTCGAGGAAATATCGCCAAATTCTTGCATCCTTCGCAAGAGGTCTTTCAGGTACTTTTAATACCAAGGCATCGAATGTAACATCACACCACACTGAAGTCTTTTTAAGTCACCTTTTATACTTTTCCCTGCAGTCTATTACTATCACTCCATACTGTATTTGTTCACCTTCCTGAAAGTGCCCGACCTTCGGTTTCTTTGGTTGCATTAAAAAACAAATACTTGCAATATCCACGTACCACCTGCTCTCACCTGTTCCTGTTCCCCTTTTTCCTTCCCTACAGATATAAAATTCGACGGCTTCAGCCGCGAGACATGTCGCAGCATGGTCGCTCTGATGGACGTATCCTTTTTATCCACTAACTTATCCGCTAAACGTGGTTGTTATAGACACTGAGCAAATTATGGACAGGAGGCGCATCATGGGACACATGCGAATTTTCGATTGTGGTTTTACTAGAGATACCTCTTTTTGTTCGAATCCGGCTTCGCTGCTCTCGATCTCCACCAGCTCCAATCACAAGCCAAAATCAAAGTCAACGACTTGACTTAAGAGTGTGTCGAAGGCTAGCTATCTAAACGATACAAGCAGTATGAAACGGCGGTGCATGCTTTTGAACCAACCCAATAATGTTCGTGTTCTTGAGGATCAAAGTCAGCTGCCAAAATTATTAGTATAGCTCCACTCCGATCAATGAAGAGCTAGGCCCATTCATCCCTTGACAGACTTGAATGTTCCTAAGACATCTCATGGCCACTGGGGTACGCTACTGGCTCAAGTGGCTGTCTCAAAGAACTGCTGAGGGGATAGTCTACTTCCTCCTGACAAGTTCCAACTTACTAGATAACAACATTCGCATTCTTACAATTAATCAAAAATGCTTGTCGATCTCTTCACTCTAGCTGCGTGCAGCACCTTCATCCAGCTATTAGTCCTCGTCTTGAATCCACCCTGCTCATTCGTTGTCTCACTGCTGAAACTTACTCATTGGGGCGAACCTCACAACTATCCTCATGTGAATTATTGACGTTCTTAGCGCACTGTTTTGAAAGCTGTACCGGAGCTTGATGAGGGTCGCCCCCTCCATAGTAACGAATCTTGACATTCAGTATGTGAATTTCGAGCACATCCATGATTGTCCATGGAAGGCTGCTGTTATCAAATAGGGCCAACAAGCGGCAACCCTGAGGCCGGCAGGCGGTTATCAAGTTAGTTAACAAATGCGACGGGATATCTTGATTTGGCTCAATCGTGCGATGGTCTTACTTATGTATTGATGCAAGTCTTTCTCTTATTGCACAGGGTTTTATAGGGTGTTGGTCGATGTACCAGCGAGAACTGAGACTGCTGTTAACTAAACTGTAGGCTGCATCGTTTTTCAAGCCTGCATCCACACTGCATGCACCATGTTTGGTTCGAAATGATGATAACCCTGACGCGCGCTCGTCACTAACGATGCGTCTGCTATCGTTTCCTAGTCAGACTACTTGTTTAACGTTTATGTCTGATGCTGATTTATCTCTGATGCGCGATTGCTTATGGTGCAAGTACCGGAGGTCAGGCGGTGATTGTTTTGTCAGGTATTTCCTCTGGGATTTTTACTACGGAGGAGTCCTTTCATCTATCATTCAACCTTGTTGTCATGCTCATCTGGTTTATTTTCGGCCGGCTTGACGATAGCAGCTACCAAGTTGGAGCAGTTGTCGTTTTCTCCGCACATTCGGCTGTATAGAGGCATTCGTTTTGATGGAGTATCTTTGCGACGACACGTCCTGTTACCGTTATGATTCGCAATTAGCATCGCTTGCATTGTTAACCACTGTGTCAGTGGTTGTTAGCCTCGACTAAGGAGCTTTGGAGTAGAGGTTTCGACTATCATCCAGGATTTCGATTCACAGTGCTTCCACATCCATCTGACGAGTGCATCAATGCACGAAACCCGTAGCAGGGTACAATGATACCGGCGGACAAACGCAACATCTATCTGCTTCAGCTACAGCCCCGGGTGGCCGAATTGATCGCGGTTGGCTTCAGTGTGAATCACACAGTTCAGATTGAGATTTTTCGTCTCAGTCCATTCACCTTCAACTTGGGTTTCAAAATGAACTCCCCAAACAGGTCGCACCTTGTTCTACCAACACCCACGGTTATTTACTGTGGTCCTGCCAACTACCAACAACTACTCTGAATTCCAATAGTGCCTGCCTCTTCTTTCATGACGGCACTGTCGGCTGATCCTCAAGTCCTAACCTAACTTGTCTTTGCTGTTCGTTTTCTGGCTTTAGGGTACTTATCGTGTTGTCAGATTGTGATATACAGCTTCAGTTTTGGCCACTAGCTATTTTGAAGTAAATCTCGACCATTCCGACTTGTGGAACCGTGCCTGCAATCAGTTAACGTGCGGTTCCATCTATTGCTGGTACAGCACTCTTCAACCGCTTCCGTTCCTCTTTGCATTTTTTATTGGACGATGATCAAACTGAGACTTGAACCTTGAGATCCCCGATTGACGTTTTCCCCTCATGCACCACCGTGCACTGCGGACAATGCACGTCATAACGTTTTTAGGCTCATCGTGGATTTGTTCTCGGAGTGTCCGTTGTGCTAGGTAATTCCAAGATGTAGTCTCAAATAGCACCTTGATCATTTCGATCCGTCTTATCAGGATCAAATCAGTTCCAAAGTCGGTCTTGTAAAGCATTGTCTCCCTCAGTATGTCAGTAAGACAACAACGTGAAAGAATGCGGCTCTTTCTCACAACTAGTTCCTTGTCCACACTGGCTTCAGGTATCCACAGTCTCGACGAGCCCTTCTTTGAGCTGATTCGGCGGCATCCCTGGGCTTTTCCGGCCCTGTTGACCGCCTGACTCTGTTTAACTGTGATGAACCCCTTTTGAGATGCTACATTTCTCAATGTGCGCTCAAAAGTTCATAATGTCTATTGTCCTTATTAATCCATCGCTTTTGAAATGTCTAGACTGATTTGACTGGCGAGTTGGACTTTCCTGAATTCAAAAAGTTGTGGATGGACCTCCGCGTTTGGAAGGTATGCCGCAGGAGCAATTTGTTTCAATTTGTGTGGTTTCATGTCAACACACCTCGGATTATCCTTTACCCACCCATTGTTGGGCGTAATTGCTATGCTTTCGAGTAAAGTCACAGCGGAGCACCCAACTTAGAGTGACATCTGTGAGAAGTCATGTCTTTCTGTTGTGATGCATTTCACACTGCACAGTACCTTTTACGTGATCGGCGCATGAAGCGATAGTGAACCTTTACCTGTTTACATTGAGTTTGTGACAATCGATATGAGTTGATTACAACTTAGCATCTTCCTAACTAATTGCCTCAGTTAGTGCTACATTACAAAACCACCTTTCTGGTTTCCCGCGTTCTGCATCACGGTATCACACCGCCCACCGTGTTATGCAAGTGGTGTAACCGGCGTACAGACAATTGGATTGTCACACCACCTAGTCCCACTTAAGCTGCGCATGCACGTTCACCGATTGAATTGAGAAGCACACAACCGCGTTCGAACTGGGCCAAGCTCGGTTTAGCCTGTTCTTCCCATTCGAGCACCGTGTGTTACACGGAACGAACAACACATCCCTGCATGTCTGCATGTGTCTTACCGCCGAGGGCGATGCTAATGCGCTTATCCAGTTACCTTACCTCGTCATCGGAAATGCACTGAATTCATCTCAGCGGCTTCACCATTTTTCGAACGTATCTTGATGATTATCCACTGTGTCTCCAAGCATCTTCCTCTTTATCTTTTGCGGAACACGCGTCGAATTGTTGGTATGCTTCTTCTTGGTCTGATATTGAACAAGCTAGATCTACTTTCAGCTAGTTCCTCATCTCCGTCACTCTCAATCAGCAGGCTGAGGCTACTACTTTGCTTTTCAGAGCATTTTCAAAAAATTCGATTACAACCAATCTGGTTCGCTCAAGGCGTTCGAGCTTCGAGATGTTCTGAAAACCATTGGTGAGTGCATTTCTCTTTTTGTGGAATATAACGCCCTTTCATTTTTGCACAGCTATCTTAAAAGTCTGCTGTATGTGTTCTCACACGGCTACATAAATAGGCAGATGGCGTTTTTTGTCCATGTGTGCGAGGCACGCTTGAGCAAGCATCATCGGTGGCCGACATTGCTCTCCGTGCTTTGGGCCGCATGTTGGTTGTCTGCACTGAAAGTTTCGCAGGTGTGTATTGTTGCGGGCCCGTCAAATATTCCCGCAAAAACGCGCCAGAAACCCCGGCAGAATGGCTGTGGAAAGCGAGGTCCAATTCCTCCCCACAACGCAGCAGCGTTTAGCCACTTCTAGACGCGGCCCAACTGCGAAGCTCTTTTCCAAACTACCACCTCGTCGTGGTAGCAATTTCCCCTAACTTAATAACCCATAGCATTGGCTGTGCTTTGCTCTTTGTTGGTTGTACAAGAGCCTTCAGAGGACCGCCTGTCTTGGTTTCCTCTTCGCCTTACTAGTTAGTCGGTCGGGTCACCTGATTTTGTGTGCGTCGTTAGCCGGGTAGCGTTCGCGTCTAAGTCACTAGCGCGCCTCTACCATTTCCCCCCGCTCGTGTGCGTCCGTGCCGAGGTCTCAGCGTCTACCCAAATACATGCGGCTGTGATCGTTCTCACGCTCGCTCAACTTCCGTCTCACCAGCGCGTACCCCGGGCTAAGTCACGCCATCAGGTCAGCGCAAATCCGTTCGATTGGCCAGCGTTACAAGCCGTTACCGTAGACGTGCTCCAACCATGCAAGTAACAATCTTATCAGGCGTTTACGCAATCATAACAGAGGCGTTCCCTCAATTATAAAAAGTATACATCAGCTAGTCTGCTTATGTGCTTAATAATAATGATCGTAGTGTCTAAGTGTCCAGATTGAATAAGTTCGCTGAGTACACAGAGTAGCTTCCAAGTGGTTAGTTGAGTTAGAGAAGCAGTATTGATGGCCAAGAATTTACGGCGAGTAGCTGTGCGTTTTGTCAACAGTTGTAAAGTGGTACTTTATTTCCAATGGATATTCGAGCGGAGTGCATTCCCTAACTGATTGATCGGCTGACTCGCTCCCAACCTTGCCTCCAGCTGGATGCCGCACACAGTCCCTATGCGTCATAAGTTGTCCATCCACGTCTTCGTATCTTGGCGTTACCTGTCAACTCCGTAGGAGTTCGAGTTCATTTCGGCTGCCCAGGTATGTCCCTATGTTGTCAATGTGTGATGAACTCACTGGCTGTACTTGCTATCGGTATGATCACAAAAAGAAAGATACGCATAAAAAGATTATAGTCGTCTGATTAAACCAGACTGTCACTACGCTGCTTGCAAAAGTTGTTATTCAAACAATGATAATCTTCCAATCTTTGAGCAATATTTGGAGCTCGTGGAACTGACTACTCAAGCTTGTTGTTTGCTAAATAATTTGGTGCAGATAACTTCTTAGCCACTGTGTTGTCCGCCATATCGCTTGGTCCTGTGGTGGTGGTCACAACATCAATCGCATCGCTAATTTGTCCCGGAGGGCGAAATGCACGTTTAGCGCCATTCTGGACGCTTGGTTGATGTTTGTGTGGATTTGTGCACAGGCGCCCTACCAAGTGAACTAGTATCCCATACTCTTGTAATGAGGCCTTTGCTCTACGTAAGTGTGAATCCGGACCTCCGGAGCTCAGCTTGGTCGTAAAGTGTACGAGGCACTAACGTTGACCACTCATTCAGTTTCCCGAATTCCTCTGAGCTAACTCTTGTTTCTTTTGTGTCCGACTCGACAAAACTCCAACAGCCACATCAGGTCAGTTCCGATAAACAACTATGGTTCGAGCATCGCGCCATGCCGCCAGATTGAGTGCCTACGGCCAAATTCCTGCGCTTTCCCCGTCCCCAGCGATGTGCAACAAGAATGCTTTATGTCTCTGTTTCCCCTCTGCTTTGCGATAGAAGACGTCTTGTTAGGAGCTTCAGAAGGCTTTCAGAGTTTTGCGATCGATTTTCTTCCGAGTATTTGCGCGATCGACTTAGATTGCGTTGATCCTATCACTGCTCCATGACGACACTTGAAGGGTGAATAATCAGCTCTAACACACGTTAGAGACAGGGATAACCACTGAAATAGGATAGTACATGAGGATAAATTTAAAACGGTTACCATGGCAACAAAATTGATAGTTATTATTACTGGAGTAATTTCCTGACTTGAAGAAGCTCTTGTGTCAAGGACGAAATGTCGTCTCAATACAAGCCTCTAGAAAACCGATTTGTATTCCAAAACTTTAAAAATTATGCTATGCCAGTGGGTTCCAAATTTATTTCAAGATATTGAATTCCTAATTAGTTCTTCAATGACTGAATTTTTTTCGTTCAACAAACATGACAGTGAAGTAAGTATTGATGTATAATAGGCTCTTGTACGGTCATATATAGTCTGATCGAGGAGATTGCTGCGCGTTCGAACAACGCCCTATGGAGGGGGTGGCCAGTATCAGTGAGTATTTTAGATGCAAGCTTGTCACGGGAGTTCCCATGGCTGGATACAATGATGTTAACAAGTTCCGACCTTGCAATGCCACTACACCTGGATAGAGGCTTCACACTGATCTAGTAGTTACCTTGAGTCCCATACTCAGCAGATCAGGAAAGATCACGGGTAATCAATTTTTCTAGTAGAGTAACACACATGCAGTGATCGAACGCTGGATCAAAAATAAATTTGATCTTTGTCCGACGACTGATTGAAGCATCTTAATACAGGATATGCTTTGCACCCAAGTGTAACACACTGTTCCAGGTTTGACAGACATCCCTTCCTCGGTTTACTATTGAAGGCATACAGCTCGAACACGAAAATAGTTTTGTCTACCTAGATAGCTGCATTTCTGCGGACAGCACTATTGAAGAGGAGGTATCCCTTCTTATCGCTGAAACCCTGTCTGCTCTGCCAACAACTTGAGGCATTTGTGGCGTTGTGGCGACATTTCGCTCTCCTTAAAGGGCAGGATCAGTGTTCGCGCGGTACTGTTGTGTGAATGAGAATCCTGGCCCATCCGTGTCGATGACATGCGTATGCTTTCGGCCTTTGATAGTGGTCATTTGCAGAGAATTGTCCATGTATGATTACAATATCCAATACGCAATGACGATGTCAGACACAGCGTCTTTAGCATGGTGGATTTTTCCCACTGTGAGTTTGTTCTGTCGCACCAATTAAGATATTTTACCTACGTTCTGCGGATGCCTCACTGGTTTTCACACAAGGTCCGTTGATCCCTTTTGTGAAGGGGCGCAAAATCTGACAGTCATCAGTATGAAAGCACCTATTCAGTGTTGAACAGATCTGTTAAAGAATCACCCCTGTCTTTCAGAAAAGTTAAAGGATGGTCGTCTGGGTCATCATCAACAGGAGCACATCAGTCATTTGAACTGATGCTTCGCTGCCATGCAACCATGATGACCTAAGGAACGAAGAATAGTAACAGCAGGACAGAGGTGGGACCTCGCGTAATACGTGAAGCTCCTAAACAAACATTCGGGTTCAAGGCGCCTACACCTTGTGCCAACAACATTTCGTCACAAACAACTGGCTATCATGCAAAGTTGAGATTCAGTCGTTTTTTTCGTTCAACACCGATTTCACATCGAATTTCCTCCAAAGAGCGAATTGCGACGTCAACTCTTCAGTTGACCTGAGGGGACTTAGTAAGCGACAGTGTATCAGGAGTCATGCTGAATTGCTGTTACTATTTTTCTGCTCAACGGACTAGTCGACAAGGTTGAAAATGGATCAACTGTTTACCTCACTAACTAAGGGCTATCTCGGGCCCGCGTTCCGGATTTCTCCATCTCACGGACCCTTTCCACTCATTAACGTCCCATATCAACTCGCAGACTTCTTGTCAGTCGTCGTCTCAGGGCTTCAAGGACACACGGGAGCTCAGTATCCATCGGGATCTGCTTGCATGCTTCCATCAATCTGATCGATACCTCAGATATCAGTTCACAGTTCGGACATTTTAATTTTGGCGTACAGCAGGAATCAGAAACGTTCCTCATGACACTTGAGACGATTCTAGTTAACTGTAGGCTCAACAACCTCATTCATCGCTGACAACTGGGGGAGGGGGGGGTCAGTTCGTCATGATATTGTTGGATCACGAACCAGGAATTCAAGTTACAAATGTGCTCCTTCAAAGTGAGAAGGGTGAGCGCTTCGCGTATGTGCACTAGTGCAAAGCTGGAGTTTAGGCACTTACTCACTGTCGATCGAAGTCTTAAAATCATGTTCGCCCTCTGTAGCTGATAGCAATCTGTATCTCTTCTCGGCCAATTGCATCCATGGTGCTTTCAGAATCCTATATGAAGAACTCGTGTCATAAATAAATCAATAAATGTTTTATTTCTCGACGATACGAGAGACTAATCATACATAGGGAAAGATCAACATATTTACAGATTTGTTTTCATTTAGTCCCCTTTACATATCAGATGGCAATATGCATTGTGTTATATTCATGTCAGTTTCACACACACACGTTGTTCAGAGTGAAGTGCAAAAGATTGTGCTGGGGTTATACCCTCCGTTAACGAATGTCCCGCCGATCTGAACCAGTGCAGTCTGACCAGAAGGTGAAAATGGGACTTTTGTAGATGAGCCATTTTTTCTAACTCCCGCTGACGCGCAGTCCAGCTTTATCGATCGATTAACGCACGTTCAGAAGTCCCAGTTCATAGTGGATTCAGAGAGGAAATAAAATAACGATAGTATCAAGGTAGGTAAGAAAAGGCAATAAAATAATTCCAGTAAAAATAAGAAATCGAAGTACCTGGCAAAGAATAATCCAAAATTATGGACATCAGTTTGCAATGAATACATAAAATTTGGCAAGCGTTCTTGTAATTCCCCCAGTTGTTGTTTTGGAACATCTAAAAATGCGGACTCATGCCGAAAGCCTTACACTATGAGAAAAATACTTCCGAATGAAAC